TCCTCTTTTTTTTCCCCCAGGTTGTACAGCAAATCTATCACCTTCTCTAAAGCCATTGAAATTATAACACCCTTGTAATTTAACCTGCTTATTTGTCACGCAAACAGATAAATTATACTACTGTAAAACTGAGATGCATTTACAGAAAGTGGCAGCTCTCCAGGTAAAAAGAATCAGCCATCTGCTCTCAGAAAATCTAATAAAGCCCAGTGACAGATCACTTCAGTTATTGAGAGAAACTTGGAACAGTGGGGCAGAAATCAGCCACATGAAACTGGAGGAGTCACACAACAGACAGGTTGTGCATAATCTGAAAGGCAGTCCATCATTTGCTTTGCCACCTGCAGATTCAACATCCACCTGAAGGCAGAACTTTCGAAATGGTTATTGTTGTTATCAGTATTAGCTGAGACTTATTTAGGACTCTGAGGTGGTCTTTAGTTCATCAGCCTTTTGGGCGTTGAGCATAACTAGACAAAGGAGTAAATGAGGCAGACCGAAAAAATGAGACCTTTCTGTTTTGTCTTTCAGAGTGACTCTTCTGTTTAAGTGAGTTTTCAGATAGCCAACTTGTCCCATTTGGAGCAAAGGTGTTCTAGAGGTTAACGAGCAAAGCAACAGCTGACTTCACTAAAGAGTTTAATCCAACTATACAAACTGTTTTCAACCTAGAAGATCCGTTTGGAGCTGGTTTGTGCTGGAATGTCACCCACACAAATCTTGCAAGGAACACTAAGTGACAATACACCAAAAATAATGAAGCTCATGTTGGAACAAAATCTCTGTAATTGAAAAAAAAAACACTGCTTAAAGGAAGAAACATTTAAATTCCAGTTTCTAATTTAGCTATTACCTAATTAAATATAAAAACTTGATGTATTTGAACCTTTTTGCAAACATCCTCACACAGTCTACATTTCTTGTCACCACACTGGTTTGCTTTGTGCTTCTCCCCATTGTTTTGCTCTTACCTCAGGCCTTGTTCCAGAATGGGGTGTTAAGTCTCTGGGCTGTCTCTGTATTGCAGACCAACTGGCAATTTAAGGTTAGGACTTTGTGTCTTAAAAAAAAAATTAACTAATGTTTATATAAACAGTCGACTCAGGTCTCTACAGCCCCAGGGCATTCATGCAAGTCCTTCCTTCCCCAGAACCCAACCCAGCTTTCTTCTGTTGGCTGAAATTAGTAATGACGAATGGATAAATAAGCAAATACAAAAAGTAATAATAATATTAAAAGATCATTCTGCTTGAGGCTGCAACTCCGCTTTAAATGCCTTCCTCTCTAGCACCATCATTTTCTCTCTCAACCGTGAATGTCTTAAACACGTGCAGGGGAAAACCTCTCACTGTGGAAGATGTTCAAAATATATACTGGGAAAGAGGAATTTTCTCCACAATGTGCACTTTGTGCAGACAGAGATGCACACCCCTAGAGCCTGATCTTTCTGCTATTAGAAAAGTCATTGCTCTTGCTGCTGAATTGCTACATAAACAGTGCCTATGGCTCAAGGGGCACCCTGAGGCTCCCCACATGCCAAACAAAGGAAGACTAATTTTCTGCCTGTAGAAACAGGAGTGCTGGGGCATAGAGTCCCTGGATAGAATGATCTACTTATAGCCACACTGCATTAAGGAGGATTCTGTCTTAAGGAGGATTCTTCTTTGTAGTAGAAAAACAGAATAAGCAAAGGTAGGATACTGTATTCCTGGTGCTCCCTATTGCTCAGGAATGCTGCAGAGAAATAAAAAAGAATGTAAACAGAAGAAAACAAAGCAGAAACAGAGAGTCGATTCTTATCTATCTTTGATGAAGCCAACGGTAGAGAGTCTTCTTGCTTACCCACGTTAATGTTTTTCTCTAAAGGAACAAGGTAAACACAGAGATTACTGTACACATAGAAAACCAAAAAAGGCAAATGGATGAGAAATACATTGGCAAGTTTGAAAAAAAATACAATACTGAATTTGATAAGATGCCAACGGTGCTGATTGCTGAAGTGCAGGGACTTTGGTAGACAAAGATCTGTGTAAGGTGTGGGGTTGGTTAAAGGTTGAAATATGTATAGTTGCCAAAACCTCACTTTCTATCTGCCAAGAAAAGTAACTGTACTGATAAATAAATGTAAAAAGCAAAAATGTGATTCTTTATTAAGGCAGGGCAAGTATCAGTTTTCCAAATTAATAATGCCAGCCTCAATATATTCAGCACATGAATGCAAAGGTAACATAAGAGAAGTGGTTACTGCAACCTGCCTATCAAGATGACCACTTATTTGATTTACACGTTTCTGTTATGTACTAAACATATCAGGCCAATAAATATCTGGTTTTTTTTACTGCTCTGGTGAGTTCAACGTTTTTAGCCTCTCTTTCTGGAATCTTTGTCACTTGATCTCTACTCAGCTGTGATACTTCATCTTGCATTAGATTGTAATACCAAAACTGTTCACCCACGCAGAGCTCCCATAGGACCCTACCAGGATACAGACAATGATTAGTGATGAGGTAGGAGTGGGTTTCAGTCAACTGACATTTACGTGTATTTTATGTTTCCGAATTCAAACAGCAATCGCTTTTTTAAATTAGTGCAATGGCTTTAATTAGAGAACAGCAACAAAGAGGCTATAATTAAAAAAAAAAATCAAATCACATGGTTGATGCAATGAGCAGTGTCTTTGTCATAACACACAGTGAGTCTGCTCTACTGTCGGGTTAGGTTCAATCATCAGTCAGCTTCAAGGGCAATCACTTCTAATTAAGAAACCTTTTAAATACTTCCAGGGAACACAGTCCAGACCTCTATGGTACTGTAAGAACAGTCAGGCACACAATTCTTAAGGTTGTCTGACCTTCAAAACTGCATTTCATGCTGTGTGTCCCCATGGAGCCATCCAAGTCTTTCTTACCTTTTTGAGGGACATGGTTTAATGGACGTGGTGGAGATGCCGTGATGGTTGGACTAGATGATAGTAGCCTTTTCCAACCTTACTGATTTAATACTAAAGAGCTAATCACCTTTGCTTTTGATAATTTTACATGTATTTATACCCAGAGAATAAGAAAGCCTACAACAGCTGTCCAAAAGAGTACTTACTTCTTGTGATTTAATGAGACACTGGACACTGAGAACCTGATGCTGAAAGTACTGTTTCAAATGAGATTAAATGTGCCTTTGTGGAAGTAAGTGGCATTCAGCTAAAAACCCTGAACTAGGTGGCAACAACAGGGTGTTTTGAATCAGAGGGAGTGATTTGGGGGCTGAAAGAAGGTTGAAAAAGTAAACAAAGCCTACGCCTTCCATTTGAGGTTAGGTTTTTCTGATTCGTGGTAGATTCAATCTCACTCCAGCAGAGACTTTTTATGTAGACAAACTTCACCTCTTTGAAGAGACAAAGAACTGCACCGGTGGTTTCTCCTCCAATCTGTAAGAACGTGCAGTATCACTGATAACCTCCCTCATCCCAAAGGGATGGTATCACTGCTGTCCTTTGATATGCAGATGCAGGGAGTGGGATTGCTATACTTATCCCTGCTGGCTAGCACCGAGTCTATGGAAAACACAAACAGGTTCTCCACGTTTCCCCCAGCACAGCTGAGACCAATGGGCCACGACCAACCACCAGAGCCTCACTGGGCGTTGGGAACCTGCCCTGGAGCACTGCATGCCATGCGAGGCGGCTCATCCAGAGGTATGCATGTAAAACATCCCAAATTTTTTTAAATACAAGCCATAATTGATAGCCGGCTTCTACAAGGCTAATTTTGCCGGCGTCGGAGTTCAATGACTGCCACGCAGATGAGTTTCCTCTGAGTCACCTCAGCTCCAGCAGCCACTTCTGCACACAGCAGTCTGCTCTCCTCACGTTTCTGTGTAGAACTGGGAAGCAGGACTTCTCCTAGAAGCCACAGGGATGCCCGCGACAAACACGGAGCCCGGCACGGCACGCTGCGGTGGCTCAGGGCGGGGCTGCGGCCTCCTGTGCTGACAGGCACCGCGCCTCATGCTACCAGCCCTGCCCAAGGCCCGCAGGCCTTCCTAAACGCCCACTTCCATCTCAAGAGAAAAACAAACGACCTACAACGGAGATAAACCTTTTTTATAAACAGAAACAAACATCCGCCTCCCCGCAGAGACTGCGCCCACGGGAACACCAAGCGCCACAGACACCAACGGACTCGAACCTCAAACCCGCCACCGAACCGCCCACCCCGGGGCTCGAACCGCGCATGCGCACGGCACCGTCAGCTGCCGCCCAGCCGCAACGCGACTGCGCAGCTGCCGCAGCCCGCCGGGCCGGAGGGGCATCGGGAGCGGAGCGGCACCCCCTCCCCCGGCCGCGCCATGGGTGACGCGTTCCGGAGGGCGGAGTCGGGCACTCAGGTGAGGCGCTGCCCCCGCTCCCCTCAGAACCCCCAGGGCGTCCACTTGGCGACAGCGGCTGCGCGCCGCGCCTCCTTTCGGCCCGGGGAACGGAGCAGCCGGCCCCATCCCGCCCCCTGAGGGCGGGCGCCGTGTAACCACGCGGGCCGGGCTGCGCTGGGCGCCCCCGCGTCGGTCGGGCCCCGCGAGGGCGGTGCGTGAGGGGAGGGGCAGCGGCCCAGCCGCACCCGCCCGCCCCCGCTCCGCCGCCCTTCCCCCCGCCTGCCCTGGAGCACGGCTCCGGGAGGGGGCGGGCAGCGCCTGAGGGGAGCGGCGGGATGCGGGGCTGCGCCTGTGGCGGCGTAAGGCGGGAGCGCTTGGAGCCGTGGCGGTGATGTCTTTACGAGGGTTTTCTTTGCTCTGCCGCTCCCGAACGGTGCAGTGGGTGCTGTGAGGAAGAAAAGCCGTGGAACGGAGGGGGAAAGGCTGGTGGTGGTTTACGTGCTGTGCGGATGGTAGAATCCTGATCTTCAGACGCAAGGGGGTTCAGTTTGGGGGCTCTTCGGGTTTTTCCTTTCCTGAGGCGTTTGTTATTCCTGCTTGTAATCAGTAAGTTAATTACCTGGAAGTTTGTGTGTTACCCTGTCGCAATAACGCTGCGTGGAGCACATGAAAGCGTAGCAACACGAGTGGTCTTAATTATTGTGCGTTAAAACGCCATTTTATTGTAAGGGACTTCTGTTCTTAAGGGTTTTTGACACTCACTGATGACCAAACCTGAACGAGGTAGGAACCCACAGCCGATGGGTTGATGGAGTCTTACAGTGCAATTGCAGGATCGTGAAGGTTGGAAAAGACCTCTCAGATCCAATCCCAGCCCACCCCCCTGTACCCACTGGCTATGGCTCTCTGCCACATCTGCATGGCTCTGGGACCCCCCAGGGATAGCGACCCCACTGCCTCCATAGGAGCCATGCGCACCATCCAGGTAAAGCCCTTCAAGCAGCATTTCATTGAAAATAAGCTTCCTCCGACATCCTGGTGCTTAAGATCTGATTTTAGTGAGGATTATACGGAGATCACAGCCTTGCAATTTTATTCTTTAGTGAAATTAATGCAACAAATTAGAACGTCTCATAAAACGCCATTGGTACATCACAAATAAGTGATGAATTGCTAGCACACATCTTCGTGCCCAAAGTTTACAGAAGTTCAGGTGGAGCGGTTGTGGTGGTTGAGAATTAAGATGTGTCTCATGCATGAAATAGATTTGTACTTACAAATAGCCTGTAGGTTAGCTCACAGCCCTTAGCAGAGTTCAAGTATTTAATTTGAATTTCTTTAACATTTTAATTAAGTAATATCTCATTTCTGACAAGGCCTACACATATGCTTACCTTTATGCCCAACTTTGTTGAGACTTATATGGTGCGAGTGTGTGATGTTTTACTTGATGGGACTGCTCAAATGCTTGTTTCTTTATTAAAAAGATGGCATTGATAAATTATAAAAAACATTGCTGAAATATTTGAGCATTGTCATTAATGACATTGATGACAATTAACTCATGCTGGATAGCTTATTCCCTACTCCTGTGTGCACACCTGTGTGCAGTTTCATTCATGGATAATTGCACTTCTCAAGAATGCATACAAGGGAAGACCTGCCACCAGGATGTTGCTAAAAGGTGATGTTTTCTATGGAAGATGATGAAAGAGCATTATAAAGGAAGAGCATCTACAGCTAAATTACAGAATCAGAAGTCTGAATTACTCGATTTCAAATTATGGGTGCTTTTTTCTCTATGCTTTTTGCATGGCAGGGCTTTACCCATAGCTCTTTCAGACACCTGACTTCCATCACTGAGGCCACCCTTTAATTCCCATAGGTGTTCCCTTTCCCCCATTATCTAGAAGACTGTGTAAGTAGGCAACGTGGAAACGCTTTCCCTGGAACACAGCCAAGGCAGCTCCTGCTGGTTTGGGAAAACCCGCCTTGTCACTGTCTGTGCCTGCAGAGGTGAGGGATCCCTGTCTGCTGTCTCATCACGGTACAGCTCAGCTGCTGTCACTTCTGTCAGCGTGTGGACAAACCCTTGTGAGCTGGGAAGGCAAATTGTTCGTTCCTTCTGCCAGAAACCCCACTGCTCACAGTGTGACACTAATGAGGCAAGTGCCTTTGGAGATTCTGCTTCAGAACTCAGAAGTAAATAGGAGTTTGATAAAAACACAGGTGTGCTATCATCAGCAAATTACCATAAATTACCTACAGGAGGACTGCTCAGAGTGAGCACCTGTAGTTATTTAAAATGAGTGCATAAACTCATTTAAACAATGACGGATTCGTATTTAAACAATAGCACTGCTCTGCTGTGTGTTTCCAGTGCTGTGGCAGGAAGCTGGAGAGGTGATAGTCTGAGAAGAGAAAGGGGCTCTTCGTTTCCAGAAAAAAAAAAGTCTGCAGGGAGTGTATTTGTTAGTGTAGAGATAAATGAGGGAGCAGCAGGCTGCAGAGATGTGTTTCCTTGGGGTCTTGTGTTGCAGTCTGGCAGTGCTGCTGCTCCCAACCCCCGTCCTGTTGCAGGGAGCTAAAGGGCATCAGGAGCAGCAGCCTGTGGTGGTTTCCTGGCTGTGACAGCTTGCAGTGCCACATGACGGGGGCAGGAGCCCTTGCCCTGCTGCTGGGGAAGCTTCTCCTGCCATGGACTGGGGCTGCTGCTGCGGTCTGGGTGGCCACAGCTGCATTTTGGGTGCGTGTGTAGGGGCTCAGAAATGTTTCTATGTTCTCTTTACATGTCCATCCAGCTGTTTGCTTCGCCCAGGTTGCAGAACCCTACTGGTTCCCCAAATACTAAAGAGTTCTTGGCGTGTTCAGTTTGCTGCACAAACACGGGTGATGTGGTAGAAGAGTCTGCAGGTCCACAGCGAGGTCAGCCCCTGCGATTCGTGGCCCCTCGGTGGGCTCATCAGAAAGCTCTCCTGGTAATGTGGGAACGAGCAAACAAAGGTGAGCACATTGACATTTTCTTAATGGAAGGGAATGCTAAAATGTCAATGGAAATGTCACACTTAGATTTCCATCATGATCACTTCAAGTAAATTCAGGGCCCTTTAATGCGGCTTTATTCCGCTATTAAAGGCAAACACAAGTGCACAACTGTTTAAACAGCTTTTAAGAGAATTCAGAGCAAAAGCTCCTCCTTGATACAGCAGGGAGGAAAGTGAGATAAGATGGTGTACGTTTGAAGCTTTGTGCTCGTTCCATGACTGGCTTTAAGGAGGATGCAATAAAACCAAACAAGATTTCTTTTGGTTTTGCTGAAATCTTTAAATGACAGCTGGGTGTCCTGCAGAATTACATACTTGGCACTGGCAGTGCTGCAGGCATCCCAGAGCGTCCTTTCCCATGTGTGTTGCTACTCATGGGGAACAAGAGCATTGGGTGAAGTGCTGATTCTCCTGTGCCAAAACTGCACTGTAGAGTTGGGTGAGTATCTGCTGGGTACAGGGATACCTGTCAATTTAAGAAACTGTCCATGAACTTTGGCTAACTTGTTTTACAATGGGCTCGCTTTGCAGTGCGCTTTGGAGGAATTCGCTTTACAAATCTGGACTTGCTTTACACAGGTTCTTGAAAAGCAATTGGTGGCTAATTGCTTTGGATTGTTTTTAATCTATACTGTGTTTGAACAAGTAGCTCTAATGCAATAGGAGTGGTAGCCCATGGGAGTTCTGCACAACTTTTCAAATGAATGTGCATGTTTTTACATATAAGTGTGCTAAGACTCACGGTGGGTAATGCTTCATCTCAACCAGTAGTGTGGAGGTGATGATTGTTACACATAATCTTCTGTCCTTTTGTTCTGTCTGATGCCTGCACTGCTCTATACCAGAGGTTATCTCCTATGAAGAAAGGTAGAGGGAACTGGGCTTGTTTAGCTTGGAAAAGAGAAAGCTCCAGGGAGACGTCATTGTAGCCTTTCAGTACCTGAAGGGAGCATATAAACAGAAATGGGAATGGCTGTTTATGAGGGTGGATGGTGACAGGACAAGGGAGAATAGTTTTAAACTGAGACAGGGGAGGTTTAGGTTGGATATTAGGAGGAAGTTTTTCACACAGAGGGTAGTGACACACTGGAACAGGTTGCCCAAGGAGGCTGTGGGTGCCCCATCCCTGGAGGCATTCAAGGCCAGGCTGGATGTGGCTCTGGGCAGCCTGGTCTGCTGATTGGTGACCCTGCATGTAGCAGGGGTGGGTGAAAGTAGATGATCATTGTGGTCCTTTTCAACCCAGGCCATTCTGTTATTCTATGATAATCCCTCTTGTTAGTCTGCCTGTGCAGCTTTTGCGTTTGTTTTTCTATTTCTCCTTTATTTCTCCTGGTGTAAATCTGTTCCTTACTGCCATTGGACCTGCGTTGGTAAGATGGAGACTTCTGCTGCTGTTCTCCATATTGTGGGTTTGCATATGTATTTATGAAAACATTTTAAAATGGAAGTGTCATTGAAAACTCCCTGTTGTTGGAATCCTTTGCAAGTGATTCCCAAGCTCCATTATTTTGAGGTAACAGCTTGTCTCTTCTGTCTTTTTGTTAAAGCTGCTTGCGCGCCTTGAGGGCAGAAGTTCTCTGAAAAACCTTGAACCTAATCTGTTTGCTGAGGAAGGATCTCCTGTTCATGGTAAAAATGTATCTTTAACATATTTGTGCAAACCTGTCAATGTAAGAGTTGTAATGAAAGAAGTTACTGAGGTCAATGGAAAGGAGCTCATCCAGTAATTCCTTGAAAATCCAGGATGTTGTTGGACAGCTTTTCCAGGTTGTGAAATTCCATGGATTTCCAGTGGAAAAGGCTGTTCTGAGTACTCAAAGCTTGGAATACCTGATAACAAAGGCAGATGAATCAGAAACTGAAAGGCTCATGCTGTGAGGTACTACTGTTGTTGAATATCTATCTATCTATATGTACATGAATGAATGAATAGACTTAATATGAGAAGTGTGTGGCTGCAGCACTTATCAACGTGTCTGCAATTTGGATTGCCACAAATTATAGCAGGTTCAGATGAAATAGAAGAAAAAGCAATAAAAAGAATCAAGGTAATTGGATGAGGAATGATTCTCAGTCTACAAACGCAGTCTCTGTGAGCCCATTTGTGTATTATTTTGCAGCACTTGGGACTACATTAAGAGTTCAGCAATATATGATTCCTACCCACAAAAGTTTCAAATGTGATATAACAAAGACAAAGGGCAGAGAGATATTGGTAAGTCATTGTGAATGGAGCAGAGAATAGAAGGTGATTTAAATACTCTCCATTCTGAGTTGTTTTGTTACCCGCAAGAAGAATCCTGAAAATGGTGTATGCTTCAAATGCCTCCTGAAGTTTTATTATTGGGGATTTCTTTTTTGAGATGAAATACTTTTCTTTTTTAAAAATACAGGATTAGAAAATGCTATATTTTGGTCTGTTTTTGTACTTCACATTTAAGAAACAATTGAGGCTGAACGGGGCACATCCTGGTAGAACAGCCTATGAGAAGCCTCTCTTGGGGGCCAGTAATTGCCCTCACTGCTTCAGTCAGCAGGGTTTTATAGTTCCATTCATAACATATCTGCCTTGATCTTAGAGCTCTGTGGGTTGTTCAGGGCTGTCCAAACATTCCTCCAGAACCTCTGCTCTGAGATGGATGGGAACTTTTTGATTTCATCACCGGTTTCTCTCTGTGCCAATACATTCACTGAACTTATAAAGCACTTCTCTTTTTCTTTTGCTTTTAACCAGTGGCATGAATTATTATCTGTGCTGCTCATGCTTTTTGGCTGACACTAATGGAGTTGTGTAATGTTAGCAGAAATCTTTATATATATATATATATATATATATATATGGACTTCAACTTTTATTATATTTTTACTTTGTCTTTTAGTACCACAGTATATTTATTTATGAGTTCATGTGTTTTTTTCACATGCATTCTCATTATCCAGTCCCTGTTGAATGTCTGCCTCAGTTTGTCAAAAACCTCATTTTCAGTGGGTCTTTCTACAAGGCCCATGAAGGAATGGTGAGATGAAAGCAATGCAATGACCTAAATTTTTCTTTCCTGATGGTATTTGAAACAAAGCAGCATGAATATATAAAGTTTCAATAAGCCATACAAAGGTTACATCACAGTTCAGTGTTCGTAACACGTGTGTCAGAATATTATGAAATAGGGACTGTTAATAGAGGTCCTGCTGTGATATTCCAGTCACTGCTTCCAATTATGATGGAATCGTATATTTAAGAACACGTGTGTTAATTACAGACCATTTGAGCTCTTTTGGAATAGAGCAAAAATGACACAAGCTTTAAATAAGCTTCCTCTATAGCCAGTCATATTTCTCCTGTGCCATTGGCAAGAAGGTGTGGGTGTCCATACAAAGCTCTGATGTGCAGCAGTAGTGTAACACCCAGAATTAATTTGAAATAAATATTATGCCTTTCTACCCCACTTACAAATATCAGTGATGGCTTCTACACGGTATGATAAATTACTAGCCTGGTAACTTCAAGGTATTTGATGGTACGAAACCTGCAGTGCTGCTGCTGAGGATTCCAACAGCCCGCTTCTGAACGCAGCATCACAAAATAGACTGACCAGCATTCAGGAGCATAACGAGTACAGAAAAGTCTCAGGACTCTTGTGGTTCTAACAGTGACACAGAACTGATGGCTAGGATGGAGCACAGCATTTTGTTTTAAAATAGATTAGTGTTATATGAATACTGATGTTTACAGAACATCATTTAGCTTATCCTGCATAGCAGAGGTGTTGTTCAGTCTGCCCGTCGTGGGCCTGTTCTGTTTTGTCAGTAGTTCAAGCTGTTAAGAGCCCAGTGGTGTGTTGGGTTGCTCTTTAAAACATGCTTCTTCAGTCTATCAGTGCTGAATTTCTTACCAAATAATTCTGATAATCCACCTTGATCTGTCAAATCTTCCCAGCCTAATTTAACCCAGTAGGTTTGTCTTTCGCATGTTCTGCCAATCTCATGGAACATTCCTTTACTGATACCGTTAATGTCAGGCAACACGAATTCTAACACAACAATTTCCCATTATCCTTCTTCCATGTTAAAGTGTCTATTCCTACTCAGTCTCTCGGGCTGCTTCCCTCCTTTGAACAGTACCTCTATACTAATCCTCCCTTCGGAGTGCTTTGACATTAATGGATGATGCTGGTCCTGATCCCTCGCTTTCCTCCATGACCTAATGTGAGAGATAGTGTCAGTGGCTTTTTGAAAACACTGCTGGCCATACTTCCTGCACTGCTGTGTCATCGTTTGTCTGCTCTGATCCAGAAGGATGAATTTCCCTTCCTTATCTTACTGTAGCAGCCTGGCCTCTAATTGAAGGAAACCCTGCATTTATAGTTACTCCTATAAATGGGTTCTGCTTTGCATCAGTTCTTTTTGTGGGCAGTCCCTTCAGTAATCACGAAGGCACAGAAGTGCCCTGCTCCCTTGAGGTTTTCTTATAGCCCAAACTGTTGTTCTGTTCAGAGCATCAGCATAACTTAAGTGTTCTGGTCAAACTCCAACCTGGGTACGCATCTTGTTTAGCAACATGGAACAAACTTTAAGTCTTGCTGTTAGAATTTATAAGCCAGCACAAAAGCTCTTCATCGAGCTATAAGTTTTACTTAAGTCTGTTAGCTCAGCCCAGAAGAGGCCCCACCAATGTTCTGTGTATGGCACTAATGGAAATAGTAGAGAGCTTTTGATAAAACATTTTCAAGTGGATGAAGTCAAACGCTTACTGCACAGAATGATGGATTTGCATCACTACGAATAGCAAATCAGATTTGTCCACTGCTGCTTCTGAAAGGGCATGGAATTGCTGCATTCTTTGAAGGTGTGTTGTGTGAAGGTCGGCCTAACAGTCTGCATTGCGTGTTGGCCTAAGCCAGCCATTGACCTGGGTTCAGCAATGCCATTTGGGGCAGCAGAAAGCTTGTGCTGAAGCCAGTAGCAAGCAGAATGCATGCTTTGCTCTTTAATGACAGATACCTGACACAATCTTCTTGAAGATTTCAACAGACCTGAGCTGTGGGGGCATGACCTACCCAACGTGTTTAGGACTTCTTCCTTTGGGTGTTACAATTGCACCAGTGTTCTGTTGTGTCACCGGTGCAACGCTGTATGTGGCACAGCAGAGCAGTGACTGGCTGCAAGAGGTGGAGTTGGATATTGCAATTTCTGAGCAGGAAGAGAAAGTGAAGATTAATGGCATAGGAAGTGTAGTCATCTTTCCATTCAAAAGTGGGGAGAGCCATTCAGAACAGGTAAGTATGGATTTGGGAGGCAATCCAGCTTTTAAAATAAATTTTGAAGTAGCAGAAATTCAGAAAAATGAGATTGCAGCGTTGGATAAGCAGGGCATTTCAGTCGGGAGAGGTGGGCGGTTGAGTGCCATTGAAATGGGTGCATTGTTACATCAGGTGTCAATGGCTTTAAACACTTGCAGTGGGTGAGGAGCTTAGTTCTTCACTGCCACACTTTTCCCAAACTGCATCTTGGCGCTGTGTGCCCTTGCAAGCAAGGATATCATCTGTAAGTTAAGCAGTGACTTGAAAACCCCTGTTAACTCAGGGGTGTTCTTAAACACTTAACGTGTTTAAGTGCAGTTGCAATTGATTCTCTATTCCTGCATCACCGCTATGGAAAGTTGTGAACAGAGAACATCTGCTTCCAACAGGAGAATCATTGCCTGGAATTAAGGTAATCTGTGAATTCCTCTTGTTGAAAGAAGCAGCTTCACGTGATGAACACAGAAAAGAGTATGTGTTAAATATACAGGCATTCTCCTTACGGTCACCGGTTCCAGTGGGATGTTGTGATGTGTGCAGATAGCAGACAAGCACAGGACAGTTTGATTTTCTCTTGGTAGATGCATACTAGCATTTAAACAATTGTTATGTCTCTCAAAGCTTTCAAAAATGCTTTTTCAAATGAGTGGAATAGTGAGTATTGGTTCATGAGCACTGAGAGTTGACTCGGAGCCCTCGTGTGACAGCTTGTTCTTTGTTTATGAACAGGAGATGTCATTGAATTCCATGGTCCAGAAGGAACAGGAAAAACTGAAATGCTTTATCACCTGATAGCCCGCTGCATCATTCCAAAATCAGGAGGGGGACTGGAAGTCGAAGTCATGTTCATTGACACAGACTACCATTTTGATATGCTTCGTCTCGTTACCATTCTTGAGCACAGACTGGAGCAAAGCACAGAAGAGATGGTGAAGCGCTGCCTGGGAAGGCTTTTTCTTGTGAACTGTAACAGTAGCACCCAGTTACTTCTCACTCTTCATTCTCTAGAAAACATGTTTTGCACCCACCCTTCTCTCTGCCTTTTGATTTTAGATAGCATATCAGCTTTTTATTGGATTGACAGGAGTAACGGAGGGGAGAGTCTTAACTTGCAGGAGATGAATCTGAAGAAATGTGCAAACTTTCTTGAAAAGCTTGTGAGGGAGCATCACTTAGTCCTGTTTGCCACAACACAGTCCATTATGCAGAAATCTACAAACTCTGCAGAAAGCTTCTTTCCTTTAAAACTTCAGCATGAAATTGATGCAGACTATCGGCCTTATCTTTGTAAATCATGGCAACAAATGGTAACCCACAGGATATTTTTTTCCAAGCAATTTAATTCTGGCAACAGTAAAGGTTTTACGCTCATTTCTTGCCACCTCAAAAAAAGCCACGGTGCAAAACGTTCATTTAATATTGCAGAATGTGGAGTTCAGTTTTAATTTCAGTTGATCGTTGGAAGGTCTGGCGAATCTTGGTGCTTAGGCCCGATTTGCTCTAGGTAGGTTTTAGTGCCTTCTAAATGAGCAGTTTGTTGCTGGGTGATTAAATACTTTTGTCACTAATTTCTTTAACAAAGAGAAGGGCAGAACACCTTGGCATTTTTAACTGCTGTGGATGTTCAGTCTCAGCTAGCGAGAAATGTTGCGATTATTCGTTGGTGCTTATTGCGAAAAGGAAATTAAATCAAGAAAATGGCAACTGAAATAATTTTAAACTCCTGGTGTCCTTCATTAATGTAACCTCTGCAATATGCAGTCAAACGTACTGACTTCATTTCTGCGTCTTATGCTTTTTAATCCTCTTCTTCCAAGGTACAGAAATAGAAGCCTACTTATCCGTGGGGTAGACTGCGAAAAGGCCAAGTGTTCTCTTTCCAAAAATATGGGTCTGGGTTCAGTAGCCAAGGACACATGAAATGCATCCACAACTCTGCCTGAAGAGAAGGATTTGTCTTCACAGCCTGTTAAATAGTAGTAATCCTGGCTGTGGTTCTCTGGTCTCACAGTTTCTCTGCTAACATTATCATAAGCTCAGAGAAACAAGGATTTCAGGTGTTTTGACCTTCAGAAGCTGATGGTTTTGAAGAATCAAAAGCATGGAGGCCTGGTTTCTGTAAGTGAAGGAGGAGCTGAAGACCCAGCTCTGGGTACCCATGAGTCTGTGCTGCATGCAGCAAACAGTTTTGACAGTAATGACATTGACAATAACGAAGTATGGCTTATGGGTTGGTTGGGGTGGTGTTGGTTTTTTTAATGCTCAGACAAATTTCTTTCTTCCTCTCCCTCATTATTTCCTCCCACTTTTTTCCCTTCCTCCATCCTCCTTAAGAAATTCAGGAATGCCATGCCTCTGGTCTTTACCAATATGGATTTGCCACATACAGAGCATTTGTGTGCAGGATTTGGCATGCAACGTGTTGCAATTCTGGCAAAGAAAATTCAGAACTTATGGGAAATGCCCTACAGTTCTGGCAAAGAATACCATATTATTTATTAACCTAGAGTGCCCTTCGAAAGCTTCAAAGTGCTTTACAAGAAAGAAGATTGCACACAGTACATTATTTAATACAAAAACTTACATTAGCTTACAAATTTAAATGACTCAAACAAGGGGAAACGTTTCTCACAGCAATATTCATTCAGTCTTGTTGCACAACACGTTTTATAGCTTAGACAGAACAGATTATTAATCAAAACACATATTTAAGAAATATTTTGCCCAGTATCTTTTTGAGAAAGGCGCCTTTAAAAAAGTCTATGGTGAGACTCTCACCTTTTAACTTGCTGACTTCTGAAGCCTGCCTTTCCAAGCTGAATGCATACCTGAATTCCACCCAGTATCTGGGTGGGCTTGTGAACCCAGACCTCCGTATGTGGAGCTGGGAGCGCACGTCCGTGCTCCTGTATGTGGAGGCCGGCACCTGCGTGGTATGGGCAGAACTCTGTGAAGATGTTGAGCAGCTCTGCGTCCTTCCAGCCCAGTGCTCCTGCCCAAAGCAGAGCAGGTGGGAGAGGTGCCAGCAAAGTCACTTCTCACTGGCAGGTGCTCCTGGCTGTCAGCAGTGGGGCTTTGGGGAAGCTTTTCAGCAGAAGACCCATGGTTAATGGCAAGTAAACAAACCTATCCTTCACCTACTCATCCATTTTTAACTTTGTTTCATCTTGAATTCCATCACTTTCACAATGAATTTAGTTTCATTATTCTTTCTGTGGGAAACTATGGGTTTTTTGGTTGAATTTTTCATCTTAAGCCTCCTCTGATCATTTCTTCATGTCTTCAGTTCTTTTCTTGTGAGGCATAACGAGTGAAAGTTCTTTTTTTCACATCTCTGCAATGGTGATGATTTTATCAATTTTGTCATTTTGTTTGTGCTTTCTTTTCCATCACCACTTTTCCTTATTTCAGAACTGATGCGAGAGCACAGAGACAAGAAAAACATAAAACTGAACCACTCCATGTAGAGTGGGCCAGAGTTCAATGCCTTAATAGGAGTGGGCACATCCACTGTGAATTATTACACAGACACACTTGCATGTTTTATAAGAACAGCTGAGATGATGCAAATAGAACTGCAGAACCTTCAAATGTGAAAATTAATGGGCTGCATCGTTTCTACTTTCAAAAGTCAACAGTTCCCTCTTCTATCAGCGCACAGCTCTGCTGAAGATGAACTGCTTTCATAAAATCATACTTGCTGAAATATGTTTGAGGGAGAACAAAAAAAAAAAAAGCAGTGGAAATGTTCTGGCATTCCCATCTGGAATAAAAGCTTTTATAATGTTCACAATGTAGTTCATATTTTGCATTGTACTATAAAATAAATGCCTAAGTTGAAATGAAGCCAAAGTTCTAATTGATTACAAAGCGTTTAGCTCAGGAGATTTTGAAACTTCACATTTATTTTTACTTTGAGTGCAGACAAATTTACTTGTGTTCTTAATTCTCTGCTGATTGCAGTGATGGTGCACTGCACAGTTGTTGTAGATACACAGCAAGCCCAGCTTTCAGGAATGTGGAACCCCTGTGTATCCCTGTGCATCTGCAGGAGGGACAGGCAGAACACCATCTGGGAGTGCACTGACCTCACCCTCTGCACAGATTGTGCTGTTTAGATAAATGATAAGGGATGAGAGTCTAAAACATAAAGAACCTGGCAAGCAGCAGTTTTGTACCTTAGTTAACTGTGGGTATTACAAACGGTCTTCAGTGGGGACTTTTCTCCTCCAAAGCCTCCCTTTTCACCCAGCCCTATGTGCTGCCTAGTTTCCAGCCCACTGGGTGACCTGCAGTGCTGCTGCCAGGCAGGAACAATGTTTTGGTGATTGGGGCTGAGCAGGTCCAGTAGTTGGAAAGTGCCCTGTGAAAGTGCCACTGTGCATTAAGTATGAGAAAGGAATGCATATACCCTCAAACTCTAATTTATCCACGTATTTCTTAGAAATGAAAATCCTTTCATGTCAGTGTCGCTGCGCTTCAGCTGAATGTTGTATTATGAGGCTTTTGTAGTTGTAGGAACTTTTTGTATTTCTCAGAATTTTGTTTGTTGCTTCATTTGCAACACTGGATTAAAGCAGTGAGCATAAAATGAAGAGGAACTAGTTGGGCCTTTTTTCCTCATCCTTTTATAATGAGAGAATTTTGTAGCAAAAACAAATTAAGACCTTCTGCAGGTTTTATATTTATTTTTAAAATAAACCCAGATTTCTACAGACACCTGTAAAGTAAATGTCATTTTTATATTCAGCATTTCATTTTTTTTTTTTTAATCCTAGACTTTTTAATAGAGCAAATAAAATACAAGAAACAGCTTGCTTGGTTTAAGTTTCTACTTGCTCATAAAATTGGAGTTTCCTTTCACTTGCATATCTGGTGCCAGCCACTGAAATTTCCATGGAGCCTGGAAATGCCAGAAGGTAAAGATTCTCGGGTGGAAATGTGCCTGCAGTTGTGTTTTATTGGAAACTAATGGACAAAGGCAGAAAGCAATGCCACTCTGATGGCTGCTGGGCATAAGGCTTGCACCATGTCCTGGAGAGGAACACGATATTCTGCTTCTTTTCTGTGGCTGCCATAATAATTGTCTCTTGAACCTCTTTTTCCAAATATATTTCATACAGAAGGATCCAGCTGAGGCAAACTCAGTGCCCACCTCAGGAGAAAGCCCTGCCACCATGCTACCCTTCAGCTTATGCAGGAAGTTGCAGTGAATTCTCCATTCTGTAGTACTGACCTGAATAAAAGCTGCAGGTTAAATGTTTGCAGCAACTACAGAGCAGTACAAGACTCGTGCATTTTGTAAGGAAGGGAAGAGCTGGGAGGCCTTTGGCAATGGAAAAAATCTTTTTTGACTGGGAAAGGAGAATCAACCAGTACAATGCATCTGCATGATCTTCTGGATAGAAAGCTCTGATGCCCTGTAGCAGCCTTCAAAATTAAACGTCTGGCCATCTCTGAAAGAAGACAGCAGAATGGCACTGAGCTGTGAATAATGTGTAGTGAGACAAAAGGATTCTTGAACAGTTGACTGACATGTCTAGCATGGTAATGCTTTAAAGTTGGCCGTAGCTGACTTGCAGGTTCTTCCCACCAAGAGATAGAACTGGTGATGGATACAGCTATGTAGATGCTGCATTATTTACAATGAAGGTGAAAAATCCTTCTGCTTTGGACCCAGGAGGAATTAAATGTAAAAACAGACTTCTTTATTGTATGGCTTTGTTTTTGTTTTTGTTCCTTTTTTCCCTGCAGTTCCAGGTGCCTTTTCCAACAATCAGCACTTGCTCCAAAAGCACTCACAGCTTTCTGTGTCAGGACCATGCTTCACTGGAAGTAAATAGTTGTGCGTTCACCCTTCATTACCAGTGCAAACTGGGATGGAGCCCACGTGACACATCAGTGTAACTGATAGAGAGCTTTGGAGGCTGCATTCTGTCTGCCACCAGGAGTAATTTCACATTGGAGCAGAACCCTCTGAAAAAATGTGGCTGTGACTTTCCTTGGGAAAAGCTTGGCAGGCTTCCTCCTGCTTTCCCACACTGCTTTGCATCCTGCCCCAGCCAACTGGTCCGTGTACCTGTGTGGGCCTCGCGCTCACGGAGAGCGGTGACGAGATGTCACCACCTTGCCAAGTGCTGGGGAACAGCCACGTTCCCAATCTTGGCGCTCATACTGCAGGACTTGGCACCGCTGCTGTACTTTATAATTTAAACCATTTGTCAGGGTTGTTTCTCATGCATCTAGCTGGGCCCGTACTAAAGACCTCCTCACCCTCTGGGGAGAGATGAAAGAGAAGAAATCTTGGCTTCTGAGGTTCAGAAAGACAAGATTTTTAGGCTGTTGCTACAAAAAGCTGCTTTGGGCAGCCTTGCCAGTGCCTCCCACTAGTAGGTGGTAGATGGTGCTGGGCACGGTCACCTACAGCAGCTTTGAGCCACACCTTCCCACTCTGCACAGCCAAAATGAAGACACTGGTCAGAGAAAGAGTGAGTCCCTGTGCTTTGTATGGCTGGGCTGCCAGCTGCTCCTGCAGACACTCCATTCAGTGAAGAATCCTTTCTCACAGAGTGCACGGCTCAAAGTGTCATCCCACAGCCATTAGAAAGCTATGCTGCCTTTGGACCATGAAAGAAATGGGTTCAGAAAATCAGTGCATGTTAGTAGAGATCTCATCAAAGCAAGTTTCTATTCATCTCCAGAAGTTTTGACAGCTCTGAAACTGCTTTTGACTCACAGAATTTCGTCAGAATGTTTTTCTGATCTGTTAAAAAGTGATTATAGAAGAAAGCAAACAAGGCAGCGCATGGCACACCACAATTCACAAGGCACAAACAACTTCAGTCCCAGGGAGATCCACAACATGATACACAATGGCACTAACAGCACCAAAAGAAATGGACCATCTTCCCAGAGAATACAAAATGGGACCTTTAGTTGCAGAAATGAACTCCAGCATGGGGATGGGAAGGGGCAGAGAAGAAGGGAGGCTGTTTGGGGAGCAGCTTTAGAGTTTGCTAAAGCGTGGAAGAAAGGAGAGCCATGTGGTCGTCAAAAGCTGAAGGAAAAGAGCTCAGCTCACCCAAGATCCTATAGAAAATATCCACAGTGACAGTGAATGGCAAACAAGCTCTGAAATGGTAAGGATGCACCAGGAAATCCCAATGACTGCCAGTAAGAGGAAGATCTGGAGAGGACTGGACCCTACTGAGCTTGTTGTGGGAACAGCAGGTTGTCTGTGCCCCTCTCACAGCTCCTTCCAGCAGGGGATGGGACACAGCTCAACCTTTCTTGCCCATGGGAGGCCCCACCACCAACCTGCTGAGCAGTCCTGTCCCAGTGCTTACAGAGTCATTGTGTGACTTTCCCTTATCCTTTATTTTAACTCCTTACCTGTGCAGTTCTGCAGTAAGGCAGTAAAGTTGCACTAAGTATTAGTGGGATTTTCTCTTATTGCTGAAGCTCCTTAGCTCTGCACATGGCTCTGCTTTGGTGAGATCTCGTGCCTGGCTTTTGTGTAGAAGAAAATCAGGTGGTTTTGCTGCTCTCAATGAGGTTACATCTATCAGCTTCAATGACATTTTACCCAGCCCTACCTGTATCAGCAAAGGATTGATGGCTAAGAAATCAGGGCAGCATAACCAAGCACTGAGATTTCAAAACAGCTTTTTCTTTTCTTCCTTGTTTGGGTTTTATTGCCACTACTTGTATTTCTAATAGGAAACACACATTTCCCAATACTTCCTTTTCTAGTAAGTTGTAGTTTGTGTTGTATCCTACCCACAGGGCGATGTGAGAGGCAAAGGGAAAGGAAAGGGCACTGTCTCCAGTCCTCTCCTGGACTAGGTTGGACTGTGCGGTACACAGCAGTGTTGTTCCTCTACTGCAGTGACCAGAGATATCCAGGACAGTCCCTGAAAGTCAGTGCAGTCAGAGCTACAGGTAGATAGAGAATTAAATAGAAGCCATGGATATAAAGAGAATAAAATGCTGCAGCGTCTGAAAGCCAAAAGTGAAACTTTGAGCTATTTGCTCTGCATTTCCCCTTCTACATACACAGCAGAGCTGAATTAGAGCCTGCAGATGGAAACTTGCAGGCCCAGAGCACTGAGGCTGGTTCTCCAGATCTCTTTTGATCCCACAGTCTGTTTTCTCCAGGAGCAAAGTCTGCCTTCAAGGAAAATAAAGCAATACAAATGAAAATGCTTTCTGTTCGGATAAGAAATCACAGAGTACCAGCACTAAAGTTCATAATATGCTGAGTTTCCAGTATTTCAGTGCCAGTCCTGTCCTGTCCTTTATTTGAGGCCAAAATCATTATTCTTGGGAATAGGTAGGTTTTCAGACTCTCCTTCCAAAAACCATTCAGTATAATTATGGGACAGGATGTACTAAAACTAAAATGCTAATTCATCCCCAGACTAAAACACGCAGGCTCCAGGATTCTCAGTGTGAATGACAGCAACGCATGGATAGGACAGAAGACATTTCGTCTTGCAAAGTCATCATCACACAAAACAGGGCATTCAAAGGGAATGGAGGAACCCTTCAGCTCCAGCAAGTCTAATGAAAACAGAGTGCAAGGTAAATACACTTAGGCTGTGGTCTCCCATCCCAGACTTCCTCCATGTCTGAAGCAATGTGCCAAAGCTCAGCGCAGTGTATCTCCCTGTGCCAAAAGAAGTCTGTCGTAAAGCAGAATAAATACAAGTACAGGCTGGCACTGGGGCTGGAGCTTCATCTCGTTTCAGACTTGGCTTGTTTGCCTACAGGTCGCACTAGTTCCTTGGGTTTGGTGCTCAAAGGAAGACCCTAATAATCCTGGGTAGGGTGACGTTGGGTTTTGGACACAAAAGAGAGATCAGGATATAGTCTTGATGTAAAGAAGCAGCAGTCTCTCCCCTCCCAGTCTTCTGCATTGTCTGAAAGCCTTAAGTGTTTGTGAGTAAGGAGTTGGCTTTTTGTAGCTTATGGATAATGGCCTTGTTGAAGTCAAGTATCCATTTTTAATGCACAAAAGGAAAAGCAGAAGGAAGTTGAGAATGCAGCTTGCTGAAAGTTCTGCCATGAAACAGCAAAGCTTAAAGGTCTGTTTTAAGATGATTTAGCAAACACAGGTCTGAAAGGCCTGAGCACTGCTCTGCTTTGCACAAGTAAGCAGGCATCAGCCACTAAATGCATTAATGCTATAGGTAGAGTCCATGTTCACCTCCATCCACTAGCACAGGTCACAATATTGCTTGTTTGCTGGAGGTTTCTGTAGCTACCATTCACAACCATATGCTACAGTAACTCCAGAACAACCTATAGATGTAAATGCTAATGAGTACAGCATATGCTAAATGATAAACCTATCAAGAAAAACAGGCCTAATGCAATGTGTAGAGACAGATATGGACAGTAAAATTGAAACATTTCCCATGTGAATATTAAAAAAAAATGACAGGTTAAAAACAAGTCGAAGTCTTAATGGTCTGCAGAAAGTCCCCCTTGCTTGATAACAGTGGTGCTTATCATCAGGCTCTGGATATCTCACCAACAATAGACAGCTTAATAATGTAGATCTTGATTGGTTTTATCAGTTCTTTTCACTGGGTCATAACTGCATTGTTTAGGGCTGACTGTGCAGAAGCCACCTCAGCAGTGCACTACTGAGTGTGCTGCTCTGTTGGCACCACTCAGAGTCATCAGTGTAACGAAGGGATCTCAGCCTGCAGAACCCCAGCTAAAGTTGCCTCCCACCAATCCACCACATGCTGAATTCCAGCAAATTGCTTAATTAACGTACTGAATGCAAACTATGCTCTTGTCTGTGCTATGGGTAGCTGGAAACACCCTTCATACACGAGCAACAATGCCTTGTCCTTTAACAATGTGGCCTAGATTTTATCTGGCCTTTTCTGTCAAGAGGGATCGCTGGGAGCCCATGTGCACACACCCCTTGTAAATTTTCCTATTTCCCTGTACAGAAAATATTTCTGGTTAACTATTTTGGTTATCTCATTTATTATATTCCCTCTTTCTAGAGAGGCTTATGCATATGTTTAATGCATGAATAGGTCCAGGGAGGTCAATGGGAAAATTTATGTGTTTAAAGTTAAGGGTGTGCATACATCTTTACAAAGTCAGACTGGACTTTGTATCTGTGCCCAAAGCTTTTCTCCAGCTGTGTCTGCCTGCACATACCTGACAGCACCAGGTCCCTAACACTAGTCCATTATTCCTCCCACTGGAAAGTTGAAATCCACCATTTACTGTACGATCGCGGTATATGGCTGGAGTCCTTTTTCCTGTTTCCGTCCCAAAATACTCAGAACGTGGGGCATGAAGCAATGAGTGTGGTGGCTGGGAAGGAACCTGCACACACAGCCGTGCTGCTGCTGCTGTTCTACTTTGCAGCCCAGGGCCTGCAGTGAGACCCCCCTGCTCACAGGTAGCAGGCTGTGATGACCTGCGCTCGCTTCCATCTCATTCTGGCTCAGAATTCATGATCTGTACCCCAGAAAAAAAAAAAAAAAAAAGTAGCTGTGTTTTTCCTCTCCTGGTTTCATTTTCTCTGATGCAAAGCATGGGCCAGTCTAAGATTCCACAGAGCAGAAAGGCAAGCTCAGTGCAAAAGCATAGCTGCTGCCTACGTCATGTTAAGCTATCAAGTAGGAACAACATTTTTGCTCAGCGATTACATTCTATCCCATTCTAGTGCAAGCCAAGAGGAGTCTCCTGTGGTTACAGCCAGGGAATGGGAGATGAACACTGAGCTGCTCTTGGCTCAGCTCATCCTTTTGTTTGTGCTGGACACATGGTGACACTCCCCTCCCCGGATCCCAGAGCCTGCAAGCCATTTGTTTGCATTGAGGACCAGACCAGGCAGTGCTTTCCTACCAACACATACATCGGGTGCTGCCCTGCTGACAAAGCAGCCGTCTGTCCTTCTGCTTCACTGCTCCAAGTCCCATGGCTCCCATCCGAATTTGGGATGTTTGGCCAGATTTTTTTTGTCCAAATCGACATTTTTTGTACTGGAGAAATGGAACGTAAAATTTTCCATCCTATTGCTATTGAGCCAGTCCTGCCAGTCCTGAGCCCTGCTGGGCCCTACCAGAGCCACATGGCTGCATGGATCTGCTTGTACAGAGCAGCCTGCAAGAGCAGTGCCTCCATTTGTTGTGCTCTGGTAATAAATCAATCCCTTCCCTTCACTAGAGGTTAGTCAGCAGACTCTTACTCATGCTTTTCTCACACAGCAAGTCACTTCCTGGTAGTATCCGTGTGAATGTTTCTGCATCCTTACCTTCTCTTCAGGGGAAGCAGCTTGATGAAGTTGGTTTTCAAGAGATGCTATTTCTCTTGTGAATCCACAGAGCCAACAAATACCTCATTTTTCTACTTACGGTAAACTGCTATCAAGCATTCCATCTATGGAGTGTCCCATACACCTTGGAGCAGCAGAGAGACCACAGAGTTTTTAAGATCATTGAATCAACTGTCAACCCATCACCATCATGCCCACTAACTCATGTTCCCTCAGTGCCACATTTATACATTTCTGGATGTCCTCCATGCAATTGGAACCGCTGAGCCCCTGCGTGGTCTGGTGTTGGGTCCCCTTGGAACCACTCCTTCAACAGTCTTGGTGACCCCCTGCAAAACTCTCCACCCTTTGCTTAGCCATCAATTCCAGCCATGGAACACTTTTCAGAGGGAATGTCTGCCTGTGAATTAATGTGTCTAATTATTGGGTAAATTGTATAAACAGTTTAATACCCTGCAGTGCCCCTCCACTGCTTAGATTTTGCATTTGAAACAGACCAAGCAGGCATGAAGGTTTTCAAAGGTGTAGGCTTGGGGTGATGTAGGTGACTCTATGGTTTTATCCCTCAAACAGCCTAAAATGACAGCAAGGTCCACGGTAGTCATTTAGGGTGAAAAAGTATAGTTTATTAATTAAGACGGGGGAAAAAAGGACCATCCAAGGCCAGATCATAGATTTTAGGCTGCCATCCATTGTCAGGAAGTGCTCCCCTCCCAGCAGGGGATCCAGGTTGTGGGGTTATTTAATACTTTCTAGTTGATTCTGTGTCTGGAATAACGGCCTTAAATGATTGGTTTTGGCCTGAGAAACTGTTTGCTTACCTGGCACCTGAACTCAAGTGATAAACTTTAATGTCCTCCTCTGAGTACTCCCCCAGCAGACAGAGGAGGCTTAGTACAGACCCACTCTCTATAAATCTGACCTTCTAAAAAAATAAATCAAAGTCAGATGTTGCTCATTATCTCTTCCAATTTCTATCTATCCGTCAACATCCAAAAGTTTTAAAAGCTCTGCTTAAGCGTGTCTCCATCCTATTGATGGAATATCCTTTAATATTTTATAGTTCTGACTTGCACTTCTAAAAGTCCTAATTAATCTCACTAGATAAAAACTGACACAAAATGGCACAAGTGAGAATAGCTCCATCCTTCCTCCCAGCAATCGTGTGCCAGTTCATCTTGGAGCATGTAATGATTTACTGTAATAGTTTTAGGCCTGTAATGGGGCCAATAACTGGCATCTGGAAGCTGTGAGGCTCTTTCCCAATGGATGCCATTCACATATAGTTATTTAATTAATTAACAGCCCCACTAGCACGAGCCAGTAAAGGGTCTATTAAAGGGTTGTGATATTTTTTTTCCCTTTCTTAAATATCTTCCAAAGTAAGAACATATGCTGCATGCTGCTTTTCCCTTGGAGAGCGCTTAACGTTGCAACCTGTTTATCTTGTGACTGATTTCCAAATTCCACCTTAACCAGCTGCTCTTTGCTGGGCTGTAGGATTCAGCACAGCCGTGCTCAGCGGGAGCCATCGCATTCTACCTGCATGTGCTCATTCCTGCACAAGGTGCCAAAGCCCTGCGAGGCCGTTCCCAGACGTTACATGGGATGCACTTCCACTTGCTCGCCTCCCTGCTGGGATGAAAAAAAAAAGCAAAAGAACATAAATATAAATAAATTGGTGGTTGGACTCAATAAATTGATGGTTGGGCTCGATGATGTTAGTGCTCTTTTCAACCGTAATGATTCGACGATGAAATAAAGGTGGGGAAGCTCATGTGGAATAAATGAAGTATCAGTGGGAAAATGAGCCCTGCCAGATGCTGGAAGGGAGTTGGTCAAATTTGTAAAAAGCATTTGAGAGCCCAGTCCCATGTGAAATGTGGAAAAGCTATCAGGGGCCATGCAGCAAATGAAGATGGGTTTGGTCTGCTTACAGAGCCAAAGGATTTTGCTTCCTGAGCCGTGAGGATTCCTACAGCTTAGGTGCAGTTAAATGCAAACCTGGTCCTTGCGTAGGACTGAGGCAGGGCAAAGGGCGCTTCCGTAAGTCTCCAACCTTCTCCTTCTCCCGCCCAGGCACAGACAAGGGCAGCTCTGGCTTGGTGCCACCAGCAGGTGACATAGGTTCATAGAATCATTAAGGTTGGAAAAGATACACAGATCATCCAGTCTGACCGTCTGCCTTCCACCACTGAACCTTGTCCTGCAGTACCACAGCTACCCTTTGGGCTCTTCATCTCAAAGGCCCTGAAGCGAGCTGTCTGTCAGGGCTCCTGGGCCATGACAAGAGCTGAGCAGCCTGCTCCCCTCCTCACAGGCGGCCCTGGCGGTCACTGCTGCCCTGCAGTCACCACAGGGTGAGTAGAAGAGGTGATTCCACCCTGAGGCAACTCCCAGTGGTGGGAGCGGCCTCCAGGAAGTGCCACAGCCAGGAGGCCGTGCAGGGTCATCCCAGCCAACTTCCCCTATCTAGGATACCTAGATGTCTCGTAGAGGCAGCAGAGAAACAGGCATTTCTTGTCCTGAAGGAGACAAGCATCTCCCTGGAGTTACTTTTCCTCTCCACTGATTGTACATGGAGCCTGAGGTGTCTAACACAGTCTTTGAAGTCCAACTGTTCAACATCTAAATCACAGCAGTTCTCCCTTTCTTTCCACTACCCCTTTCCCATTTTTCCTTTCTATCCCAGTAAACCTTCCATGATGCTTCAGCTCTAACAGGAAGATGTGGGAGCACCCCAATGCTCTGCAAAGCAACCAAGAGAAGTAGATGAGATATGGTTTTCTCTCCCACCTCATTTCAATAGGCAAGGCTGACCATGTCCCAGTTCTTCACAATAGATGCCTTTGACACCTACCTTCCATGAAGAACCACAAAAAATAATTCATGTGATAATGAATATCCTGTGGGTGCGTTGTGCTTTTGTGGAAAGCAAAGCAGCTGTAACCTCGCTTAACTGGCTGTTTTGTTTTACTGGTTTGTACTGCTCTAGTGCTCCACTGAGTATAAACTTCAAAGGTGATATAGGCTTAATGCTGTTCATCCTCAAAATGTTAAAAGTATCCATGACCTCGTTGTATTCTTTACCTCATGTTTTTTGTTAGTGTTGTTGTGCAGATGGAATGAAGGTTGGGTACGTACACTGGGAACTAATAAAACACCTTTAACATTTTGTGACTAAACCAAAACCGAACAGCAGAAAATCCAAAACACTCATATCTAAAGCTACACTTCAGAATCCAAGGAGACTAAGAATTGAAAGTGCGCTCAAATACATTCCCTAATAGATTTTATTTCATGAGAAAAAAATCCATATTCTGTCATAAGTCTCAAGAAATGTTTTGGCCAGCTACAGCCATAGATTTTGACCTCTGCAACATCACCGGTGAGTCCAAGACGCTGTGTGGGACCTTAGTGTGCTGGCTTCCTACCTCCACATCCAACCTCCCTGACCCTCGGTCCATTTCTTTCCTGAGTTTGCAATGCACATTAGTCTGAACTTTTGGAAATATTAGGACGTCCTTTGAGTCTCTTCTGAAGAAGAAAATCCAATTCACAGCCTGAGAACTTCCTGGGATGGTGCAGTATTCTGTTTGCAGTTGCTGGAGAATCGGCGAGTATCCTTAAACCATACAGCAGAACTTTCACTGGACATATGCTGTGTAATGTAAAAACACTCAAAGGATTAACAGCTATCAGTGGATATATCTCTAGCTGTGCACATACCGCAAGTCTACAAAGAAGGGATTAGAGGTATCTGATACGAACCTGCAAGGGAAAAAATACAGTGCAGCCAAAAATGGAATCATAAGACGAAGTTATTCATGTATTCATAGGATTTTATACAAACTGTTGGGTTACACGATGACCTATTTGTATTGCAACAATATGTAGAGATCTTGCAATAAGAGATCAGTCACAAGATGCTGCGTTTTGTGCACACTGATGCTGAAGAAGAGCAAGCATGAAGCCCAAGAGCTATTTCTTGCAAGTGCACCCACATGACTGTGCTGTGGACATGTAGAAATCCAGTCCCAGGCTTTAGCCCAAAATAATCATTCTAACAAAAAAACCATCCTTATTCTTCCAATGTTTGTTAATAAAATAGAACACATAGTAGTTATTATGTAGTTTAACAAGACCCATGCATTCCCTAGCAGCTTGTGTGCACTGCCCTCCCAGAAAGTTTCTCCTAATCTCTCTTTTCTTAGCTGCAAATGAAGCTGCTTCCTTCTTTCCCTGTCCTGCAGCAGCCATGGGGAAAGATCTATCACTCTCCTCCTTACAATAAACTTTAACTTATTGCAAGATTTTTATCATCGCTTCTTTAGACTCTGCTGTTCCCAGACTAAACAAACAATCCTTTCAACATTTCCTCCTAGGTCGTTCTTTCTGTGCCTCTGATATTTCCAGTGTCTCTCTCCTGGACTCTCTCCAGTTTGTCTACATTTTTCTTACAGTGCAGTGCCCAGAACTGGACACCGTATTCCAGCTGAGGCCTTACCGGTGCCAAGTGGAGTGGAATAATTATCTCCTATGTCTTAGGTTGCAGCCACACATCCTGTTCTGGCTGCAGCTGAGCTGGGTGAAAAGTTTATTTCTTCTCGCCCGCTCCAGCTGCTTATCACCACCCCCAGCTGCCTTCTCTCCCCTCCCAGGTCAGCCAGCGCCGTTGCCGGCCAACCCCTCCTCGACAGTCAGCAGTACAGACAGCAGGTCTCTTCTCGCCTTCATCTAACACACCCTGCTAAGGCTGAGGGGTGTGTGAAGAAGCCAAAGCCTCAGGTGAGAGGAGATGATGAAGCACCAGGATTGTGGAGAGCAGCTTTCGCTGCTGGAGAACTGCAGCCAGAAAAGGACATCCCACCCTGCCCTTGTGTCCAGCCTTCAGCCCACCTGGAGCTCCAGCCCCACCAGGAGATCCCTTCTGGCATTTCTCCTCCCAAAAAATGCAGTACTTTGCACTTCATCGCCATGCTGGTTTTATAGCGTTTTTTCCAATTATCAGTGCCATTCCAAATGCACATTTTATTGTTCCAAGGAAGACCACCCAAACGGAGATTATTTTATGAGCACATTCACTGCTGTGACAGCCGAGGTGACTAAGAAAGCTGAAATGCCATCCTGGCAGCAAAACCTCCATTCCCACCAGTGAGAGGTTTTCACCCACTGCTGCAACCACCTTAGAGTGATAATATTTTCTTATCTATCTGCTCACAACATTGCACAAAACAGGGTCACGAGGCTGATTAGTGTCACAATGCAAAATTCTAATTCCTTCCTCCATTTAATATCTGTGGAGAAAGCCCAGCAGGCCACCAGGAACGTGCTTATGCTGGTAGTAGCAACATAACCCAACAACGTGGAGATACTCTATTGATTAGGCTGGAGTTCTTCTCTTCTCTTACTCTGTTTCCTGCAAAGACATGATGGAGAAGTGAACTGGCTGCTGACCAATCCTGCATATCCTCTGCTCCCCTGCAGAAGTGGTTCACGCTCCAAGGAATGAAGACTTAGGAAAACCATGCTAAGATACCTTGATTGCAAAATATTTAGCACCAGCTGAGGACTGTTGTGGATGCCACATCCCTGGTAGTGCTCAAGGCCAGTTGGATGGAGCCCTGAGCCCTGATCTGCTGGGGACAGCCTTGTCCTGGCAGGGAGGTTGGAACTGAATGCTCTTTAAGGTCCCTTCCAACCTAAGCCTCTCTATGATTCCATGACTCAGGACATGTCTATGCCAACCAGAACCTTCAGACACAGTGAGATGTTCCAGGAGCCAATCCTGAGAGCCTTCTTCTTACACCTGATATTTAGGTGGAGTTATGCTCATTTTGGTTCACTGCCTTCAGCTCTGGCTATGCCTGCATCCCACCTTTCACACAGACATCCTTTGCCCGCCCATCCTCATTCCCTACTTTTTTCCCCTTTCTCCTTCCCTTTCCATTTTCCCTCATGAAACATTGCTCCATCAGTGTGCTTCTTGCTTTCCCAGGCCCTCTTGTCCCATTCTCCAGGTCTCCCCTTGGCACCTCCGCAGTCTTTCTTAGCCATTTGCCTCCTCCACTCTGTCCGGGCACAGCTGCACAACTCCACTTTCACCTTGAATCCTGCCTGTTTTCTTAGGCTCTTTGGAAATGGAGGTCAGGTGCTGAGAGCTGATGGCAGGATGAAGTAATAGGAGTAGAGCCGAGGTGACGTTCTTGTTCTGCCTTGAACACAGACTGCCAATCACGCCATAATAGATGGCGGTTCTAGGCAGGGAACAGCTTTTCAGCTCACCAAAATTAAACCACTAAATGGAATTTCCTCTATGGGCTAATCAGGATCCGAACCCATTTCTTTGGAGATAAAAGGCACAGCTCAATCTCCCGATCCACGAGGTCATCTGGCATACAAATCAATTTTCATCTGAAACGTTTTTATGCAAGGGATTATTTTTTTTTTCCAATCTGCTTGTTAGCGCCTTGTGCCTAAACCGGAGCTGTGAAGTGACTTTTTCTCACTAGAGGCTAAATAAAGTACTGTACTGTTTTTACAAACGTCCCGAGCTCTGCCAGCAGGCTGGCACTGAAAGGGGCTGGCAGCAGACAGGCCCCGGCTCTGTTCTGTGTCACGGAAGTGAGCCCGGGGATGCCGGCCAGTGCCTCCCCGCACCGCAGTGCCACCAATGGCCGTGTAGGTGATGTCATGGGATGGCAACAGCGCTTCCATTGCCACCCCCCGCTCTGCCAGCTCCCACCTTCAGGGTATTTTCCTCGCTCTGGTCCGTGTACTGTAATAACTAAGTCAACTGGAAAAAATATTGAAGAAAAGGCCGAGGAAAAACAGAGCGTAGGGGCAGCTGGAGCCAGCAAAGGAGGCACACTGAGATCTATAAAGAAGCTTTGTGCAGCAGCTTCTGTCAATTTTGGGATGTTTCGTTCCACAGGAGTTGGAGAAGATGGGTAATAAGATGCCCATTATTTTAAGGGATATCCCTTGTAGTCTCAGCTGCATAAAGATCAGTCTGCGGGTGTGTGGAAACAGTGCTAGCCAGTATCTCTCTTTCAGAACCTCCTGCTGCTCACTCCGTTGGATGGTCTTGGTCCAACTAAAGGGGAAAAAAGCCTTCCATCCCCAAACAGTCATCCATCTGGAGAAACAGGTGATGACAAGAGCTCGCCTGTGACGAAGTACTAATATGCAGGAAGATGCATTACCCTGGTGCTCAGGTGCCTGCTCAGGAGCTGCTAACGCAAGGTGAGGAACACATCCTGAGCCCCCACCCTGGGAGCCCACACTGCACCCAGCGCAGGGAGCTGGCAGCACCCACAGTGCTTGGGGTGGGGGGGGGCCTGCAGAGGCTGTCGGTGTGCCCAGGGCGCAGACACACGGACAGAACCGCTGAAGTGCCAGCCTGCAGAGCTGGCTGCAGAGGGCGGACCTTGAGTCGAGACCTCCAAATGGCTGCTCACAATTCAGAAGTGCGCGCCTATTTGCACATCGGTTTCGTGCTCTTGTGGATCAATACAGGTAGTGCTGCTGATGCATGTGTGCAAATCCAAATTGGTTTTGTGCCATTGAAAGTTAGTGTTTGTAATGCTGAAATACACCTATCCAGTGTTTACGTTGTATAGCTGGTAGATGTGAGCTGAGCACTGAGGAAGGGCAGGAAGAAGAAGCAGTCTTACAGGCACTGAGCAGAATGTCCCAAGGACCAATGTGTTAATTTGATCAAAAAAGAAACAAGCTTAAAATGTTTCTTGGACTGAAATTCCAAATAAAATTGCCTCAAATGTATCATAAGGGAAGGCTGTTGAAAGTGCTCTGTTGTGCCAGGCGAGCCAGCAAATGTTCACACTTCCTCCTAACCACAGTCACCTGCACGCAGTGAGCGAACATTTCGCTACTCTCGTCGTCCCAAGCCCATGCTGTTCTGTTCCACCTCCTTTACAAAACTGGATTCACATCATGTCTCAAGGCTGACGTGATGGAGATGAAGAGCACAAAGACGCCGGGTTGCTGGTGAGGGATGCTGCAGGTAGCAACGCTCCAGCAGGAGCTCAGGCTTCCCTGGTACAGCCAGGAGGATCCGGGGCATTTCTCTCTGCCTGGCGAAAGGCTTTGCAGATCTCCCAACCCATAAAATGTAAAGTGACACTAAGTGAAATCAGCACACTTTAAAATTCAGCTGTAAGCATCTTCGAGTACCGTATGACCAAATTATAAATTGTTTAATAAAAGAAAAAGTTCGTGCTTTAGAAGGGTTTTCTTTCTAATGGCTACTTCAGGTTGTCAGTTAAATGTTTTGTGACCAATGTAATTCTCACTTGCCCGCATCTCAAAATTGTCTAATCAAGCACAAAGAGCTGAGTATTTCATACACACAAAAACGGCGATATTGAATTTTCTCTTGTGGACTCCATCTTCCTTTCCACCCATCAGAAAGAAAATTGTGGAGACAAAAGCTAGACAAGGGAGTGTAATAGGCAAAACTGGCCTAGAATAAACACAGGCTGAAAAACGAAAAAGAAAGCTTGGACAAAACCCCGCTGCAGAAGGATGGGAAAGCAAAACAAGTGGAGAGAAAAAGGAAAGCAAGCAGAACGAACTGCTTTTGGAATGGGGGTTTGCTCACACACTGACAGTGATGACATCATGTTTGCCTGCAGGCTGAACTGCGTGACCTCAGATGTCCATGCTGGCATCTTGGGCAGCAGATACTACTTCAGTGCACACAAGGAAACACCTGACCCTGCTTCCTTCTGACACCGAGCTACACAGTGCTGCCTGTGGGCAGAAGCAATTCATGCACCGACTGGTACTTCAGGAAGGTGCTTGGTGTAATCTGTGCTCCTGATCCTCTGGATTGAGGCATCTCCATTCAGGGGTGCCAAAGGGAGCGCTGCCTGCCCGCTGTCATCGTCAGCCCTAAGGGGACCTTCTGGTCAGCTGGAAGCCCTGGAGGTCACAGCATCACAGTATCATGGAATCAGGGAATCCCAGTCACAGAACCCCAACTGGTTGAGGCTGGCAGGAGCTCTGCGTGCCTCTGGTCTCACCCTGGCCCTGGTCTCAGCAGGGCCACCCAAGAGCAGAGTGCCCAGCCCCACATCCTGGCAGCTCCTGGACATCTCGAAGGAGGAGAGGCTGCAGCCTCTGTGTCCCTGTGCCAGGGTGCATCACCCACACAGCACTGTGGTGCTGCCTCGTTTGTGCCTGCTGCCTCTGTCCTGGAACTGGGCACCACTGACTGCCTGGCTCTGTCCTCTTTCTACTCTCCCTTCAGGAACTATTCTCCTGCAACCTAGACTTAGGCCAAGCCCTACCAGACACTTGATGGATCATTGCAAGGACAGACTCAGAAGATTCTGACACGCTGACAGAAACACTGTGATGAAGGCAAAATCCCTTCCCATCTCTTTCACAGCCTTATGGACACGTGCTCAGGAAGCAGGAAAGGCATACAGTGGGCTCTGCTCGTCTTGGTGCCTCTGCTTTTTTCTTAGCAGAGTGAGCTCGCTGGGTTTGGCACCAAAGAGAAGAGCTTCCATAAACTCAGGACAGCAGTTCCCACAGGACAGCCCTGGGGCAAGGGCTGGAGCTTCAGGGAGAGAAGCAAATGCAAATGCAGCATTTAGCAGTAGTTAAATCCCACCAACATTTTCTCCATCCAGGAAAGCAGTATGGCTTTTTGATTCACTCTTGTAAATGAAGAGTAATTGTATAATGAGTGACCTGGCTTGTCCTGCTGGAGTCATTCACCTAATTTTAGCTACTGCAGTGACTAATGGGGACCTAAATTAGGTGGTCTTTATCCCAAGCTTCCTTAAACTAGCTTCCTTGGTATAAGGTGACTGTTGCAATTAGCAGCACTGTGACTAATCAGACAATAATAGTTTCAGGTTGTGCTGCACAGAGTTCACAACTATTTCAAAATGCCAGAGAGTGTTACAGCACATTGCTTTTCCACGCACTTGATGAACAGCATCCACCAGCCCTGCCTACTACATATGTCTGCCAGTGGTGTTAATACAACATCAGTATTGTTCCCCCATTTGTGGATGCTGTCTCCTTCCCCCCTTTCAGGATGCAATGACCACACAGTACTGCCCAGTCCCTAGAGTAGCTAGTATTCAGCAGAATACAATATCCTTTCTTTGCTATTTTGTATTGCTCCTTTTGTATTGCCATCTTGGGAAGACATGGGAGTACTGACCGCCAGCAGAAACTCAGCAAGAGCCTCCTTACCTCTGCTCTGCCCCTCCCAGTCCAGATTGCCTGTGTTTACCTCCCTTCCCGGAGGGAAATGGAGCATAACGTGCACTTTCCTAATGTAATTTTGGCCAGCAGCTATTGCTTGAAAGCTTTATGGTGATCTGACATTAAAAAATTATAAATCTGTAAAAAAAAGTAACACTTTTCTAGAACACAGTCACACATTATATCCTGTCTTGATAGGAAGAAACTGTACCAGCATCCTTCAGCACATATGTAGGGATGTCAAAGAAAAAGAATCATTTTCAAAAGAAATTCCTGGCTGCTAATAAAAAGTTTACTATCTGATCCCTTGTATATCAATATGGTGATTCAAGGCTGTCTCTGTTGCAATACAGAAATGCATTCAGTGTTTCTTTGTGCAACAGCTACTTGGCTTACCCTGCTAAGACAGGACTTCCAATGTTTGTGACCAGGTGGAAAATGTCCAGAAAAAAAGCCCAGTGCCAGCGTGCCCAGTTTTCACAGACAGACAAGGGGAACTCGGAAGGAAGCTGTTCTTAATTGGGCTACCTTCAGAGAAAACGTTTCTGGCTGAATTCATATTTGTTAATCAAAGGTCAGTGGGCAAATCTACTGCCCCGTTTTAAAATTCTAATGAAATCCAAGCCCCCAAAGCCATCTCTGTTTTGTTCCATCTCTAATCGCTGAGTCCATCAGTAGCGTTCGGTGGGATGTGAATGAGAGATCATTCTCATAAATTAAATGGACTTCATGAAGCAGATCTCAGCACTCCTGTGACAAGCAGAATATCATTCTGAGATCTGGCTATACTTAATAGATAAGTTTCAGTGATGTTTTGTTAATTCAAGGAGTCTTCACACTGTAATCTGTTTCCGTGCAAACCTGTACAGTGGGTAACATGGCAAAAAGGAAATAGCTGAAATCTTCAGCTCCTTGAACAAAAAAATGGGGAGTAGAAATCGTGGTTGCTGGATGTTTTGTCTCTGCATGTGAATGGATCAGAATCGAAGAAGGAGCAGCTGGAAAAGAGCGGTTGTTGCGAATGCAGAGGTTGCAGCTATGGTCCTATTGCACATCCTTGGGAAAGTCCATACTGAAACACGGCGCTGTGCTGAGATGCTTGAAAAATTGTTTTGGTTGTGGCATGCAAGAAACATCTATTCATTAAAGTCTTGCAATTGTGACCCAGCCCTTCGTCTTGCACAAGATCTATAAAAAAGGCTGAGTGACTGTAAATGTGTCCCTTGAAGCAAATTATGGAAGACATTATAGGAAGACTGGTTTCCAGCCAGCTTTTCCAGCTTAATGAATCCCTTTCAAGGATGCATGAAAGCTTCACCAAGACCAATGGTGAATATCCCTGGACTCATCTAGTGAGATTTTATAAGGAGTCCCAGCAATTGTATTCTTACTTTTCTTCTATTTTCAGAAAGCAGCTAGAAAATAACGTGGAATGGAAATACTTCTGTTCAAACACTGCACTGTGACAACAGACCCGGTTGATTCATGAGCAGTCAGCCAAGGGCTCTAGGACAGATTCCGTTGTATCAAGATAGCAATCAGCATGCAAATGACTGCAATTTGTATGCTGCCCATTCTGGAAGAGATCAAATATATATATATATATTTCACAGTAAAAATCCATTCATTTCATTAATGCACAGGTCTGGACTGTCTGTGTTTTCCTACAGGCATCATCGATACATAAATAAAGAACTGAGAATACTAACAGTTAAGGAAGACTTTGCTCAGATCATAAACATAAGGTGCCTATAGGAACCTCATATTTATGATACTTCTTGCAGCAAAATGACATTCAGCTACAGATTTACTGTTATCAACTGACTATAGGTTTTCTGTTTCTGCATTAAGAAAGAAAACAAAAGAACAATCAGTAGAGTTTTTCTGCATTTTGTGCAGAAAATGGTTTGCTCTTTCAGCCATTGCTATTGCTTCAGCCACTGCTGCCTGGGATCTCAGGATAAGTAGAGGAAGTGAGGGAGAGAAATTATGAACTATATGGAGGGATCCTTCTGAGGGCAATGAGTGGGAAGCAGAGGAACGTGACAATGGGGAAACAGATGAGAAAGAAAGAGAACAAGAATATGCAGGCCAAAAGGATGGGAAACAAAAGAAGAATAAAACAAATAAAGAAATAAATGAAGTTTTAGGTGAAAAGTTCATCATGGATTCTTGTGTGTCCTTCCACTCTACTAGGCAGAAGAACAGCTGCACTAGAATATCCCGATACTCCGCCTTTCATTTTGGCATGTTGGTAGTAGAACAACTCACAGGGCACACAGGAGTTAACAAAATATTACATGCTCCAGTGCATGTCAGACCAACCATAGATACCCTGCTGGTCGTAACCAGCTTCATTCCTGCAGCTGCTTTTGCACACTTCTTTGTGAAGTGCTACAGAAATGCCAAGTGTTGTTATTAAATAGATGAACACAGCCCAACAGGTGTCATCACACGTAGCAGGAATTACACGTAACAGCTAACTGCAAGGCACTGCTGGCTGACTCTTGACAGATCTGCCAGCTTGAGGTGCTCATGTCTTCAGTGAGGCCTAATAGGTTACATGTTTGTAGAAAGGATGAGTCCATCAGGTGTATCTTGCTACAGTTTACATTAATGGTGATGTGGGAGAGCCAGCCTTTCAACCAGTTTGGAAATCCAAGCCATAGCCTCTAAGCATTTCCTGATTTTATTGTTTTACAGACTACAGGCGGAGGAAAATTAATTCCCCATGTAATTCCATTGAAATCCAGTACATTAGCTGAGGGACTGCATTTATTTAAGTCTGTACCAATATTTATGAGATGAATTTAGGCCCAGAATGTGTTGGCTGATGGCCCTTATTGGGAGATGAACTGGATTGCTGTACTGGGAAGACTTCCCAGCCATTGGGAGTGACAGTGGGGAGAAGGAAGGACAGAGAAGAAGAGGGCAGAACAGAGTGTCAGGACCACAGTAATTAATGCTTAGGAGGCAGAAAAGGAGATAAACTCCCAGAATGACAATTCTAGCATTTTAATTTGCATGTGGTGGAATTTCAAAGTGAAATCGATGGCTTGAAAGAAGCTTTATCTACCCAATGAGTTTATACATTTCCCATTATTAGCAATGCACTGTCCTGCAGTAGAAGTGCTGCCATAGACTGACATGGAAGAAAGAACACAGTGTGGAGAAATCTTTCCAAATTTACTCATTTAAAATCTAAGAAATACGTCTGACTGATATCAGAACAGCAGAAGTCTACACAGATGAGAATAAGAGACATTTCATTTCAATTCAGGGTTGACGATTTGGGCATACTTGAAAGCAATCAGAGATAACAGAGCTAGAAGGAAACAACAGCAGCAAAAAAGATTATAGAGAGAGCATGAAAAGAAAGTTCAGTTTTCTCTTCTGAGAAAATAACATAAGAAAGATGCACACCCTTTCAATGGCTTCATTTCCTCAAGATATGTCTTCAATCCACATTTTTAAGTTCTTTAAAAGGCTGAAGAAAATACCTCTTGCAAGACAAGATAAATAAAGTGGGTCATGATGCTAAACACATTAACTCACCCCAAAACATACATGCTCTTTGGTCTCAGCAAAGTGATTGAGATTCAGAAATGGTTTCTTCAGCTTTCTTCTGAATTGAAGAACAAAATTAGTCACAGTCAGTATAGGTTCACATGAGCTTGTTTAGTTCAGAATTACATACTACTTATTTTAATATATTACTAAATTGTAGTTTGTCATATGTGTTTATATTGGTGAAACAACATTCCCATGTATTCTCCTTACTAACGTAGACACTGAGTCTCAGAGTCCTCCAGCTTTTATTGGCAAGTACACTTCACCACAAAGCCTAAGGCTTATCTGTAATTTTTTCACTTCCATAATGAACTACACAATGATCAGAGCAAGGTGTGAGGGACCTTTGGGGCCACCCATCCGAGCACACAGAGAACTTCTGGCCAACGTGCCCATGCAGCATTCCAGCTGCACTCAGTGCTTCGCACACCTCCCCAGTTCTAGATTTAATTCCCATTTTTAGTGACACACTGTCGAGTCACCATCAACTCCATTAACTTGGAGCTCCATTTAAGCATTGTGCTTTCTTCAAGTCTGGTTGTTGCTGCTGGGAGCATGGTTTAAAAAAATAATAATAAAAAAAAAAACAACAATAAAACCAGCTGAATATTTCTGATCTGTACATTAAAACCTGTGCTTGGTACTTCTGGAGCTTCTTAAGCCAACCCAAGCATTTTAGACATTGCATTTACACGTTTCCATGTGGTTGGTTGGTGTGCTCCTTTGTTTCAGGACTGGCAAGGCGGGCTGTTTCTAGTTCCTTGCTGGACCGCTGCAGTAAGCATTATTAAATACAACCCCCGCCAGCCCAGGCAGTGTGGGGCTGAACCCAGATATGCTGCATACCAAAGTAAATCAGAAAACACATATGTCTGACAAAAGAATTCTCACCCTGGATATAATGACTACTACGTTTCTCTGGAAGATGCAACACATTGTGGTACTTCGTTCAGATACTTTTTTTTTCCTTTTTGAGCTCTATTGCCATCTCCAAATGTTCAAAAACTACAGTTTGGCCCTCAAAATCATAAGCCTGTCTGTAAAATGATAAACGTGGAGATCCTTTACTTTGCTTCCTGGATTTTGAGCTGTTAGGGTGCACCTGGGTCACATTTGCAAGCTTTATACTCTAACCATTAGGACTAGAAACTGACTTTAATTTAAAGAAAAAGGAAAGCTGGGCTTCTAACCTCATTACACAACTCTAGTAGCTGCAGTGTAAGTGAAACATCAAACATCACAAGATTGGAGATAAAATCATGAGTGCTGACAACATCAATTTGGAGTAGGAGGTGGGATAGCAGGGGAAACTCAGGGCACATGGCTTTACTTTTTATCTTAATGTTTTTATAGGCTGTCTACTTTTATCTTTAATCAGAAGTTTTCAGTGGCAGTTCTTTCTTCGTGTACCTGTGCGTGACATTAAAAGGTCACTTCTGCATTACTACCTGACGCCGTCTGCTAACAGCATCTTTCTATCAGAGCTGACATGAAAAGGTAGGTGTGCACCGCTGGTACGCCCAGCGCTGATATCACAGCCAAGAGGTATTATGGAAGCACAGGTCATGAGTGCACAGCTGAAACGGAGTGGAGAGGGATTCCAGTCCCCCGCTGTGTGTGTGTGAAGAACGCGGGACGTTTCTCACAGCTCTGATATTTACTGCCTGATTGAAGAATACATTAGTGAAAATTTACCCACAAAGGTCAACATTCTTTGTGACTTCTAAGTAGGTGCTTAGAAAGCATGGCTTGCTGTATCTTTTATGCCTCAAAATTATCTCAGTGAAGAATAACACAGAAACCTAGAAATCTACATATAGGTAAACCTGTCACTAGAATAAATTAGCTATAATTAAGCCAAGTAATTAAAGGATCATTATGATCATAGATCAATGGACCGGCCAGATCTAGAATTCAGGTCAGTCTTAAGTAATGCCAAAATGGCACTGGTGACAAAGTGATCATCTATTCCTTCGCTATTAAAGTGAGCTTCCAAATGACGCTTTTATTTTGATTTGACTTTAAGAGTTTGATGTTTTCCAGTCAGAGGGCATCGTGTCCCAGCAGTCCTCCCATCGTCCGCTCCCTAAACAGGCTCCAATCCATCTAGTTCTTTAGATCATGTGTGATTATGTTGCTAATAAGGAGGAAGTGCAGAGTCCGCGTCTGCCCGTGTCACCACATCACCGCAGGGCTGGCTCACCCAGCTCTCTGCAGGGAGCTTTGGAGCCCACTTCCACCTCACCGTTCAGCCCTCTGATCATCTTAGTGGGCCTGGACCCGATCCAAGAGCTCCACGTCATTCCTGTACTGGGGTTCCCAGGCCTGGATGCAGTACTGGAGATGGGGCCTCACAAGAGCCGAGTGGAGGGGGACGATCACCTCCCTCTCCTTTTTTTAATGCAGCCCAGAACACAGTTGGCCTTCTGGGCTGCAAGCAAACACTGCTGGTTCATGTACAGCTTCTTGTCTACCGGGACCCCCAAGTCCTTCTCCACAGAGCTGCTCCCAAGGAGATCTTCCCCCAGTTTGTATAAATATCTGGGATTGCCCCGACCCGAGTACAGCACCCTGCACTTGGCCTTCTTGAACCTCATGAGGTTTTCAAAGGCCCACTTCTCCAGCCTGTCCAGGTCCCTCTGGATGACTTCCTTTCTTTCCAATATATCGACTGCACCACTCAGCTTGAAGTCATCTGCAGACTTGCTTAGCTGCACTCAATGCCATCATCTGTGTCACTGATGAAGATGTCGAAAAGCACCAGTCCCAAGGCCAACCCCTGTGGGACACTGCTTATATTTACTTACATCATATCATATTTATTCCCTCAAAACATTACCAAGTCAGGAACTTCAAGATAGGTATATATGCAGAGAAATGCAGAAGTCAGAGATCCCAATAGCCTCAAGTTTGCTCTGAAGTGCCACAGAGCCATGTGATGCTCACAAGCACAACAGAATCTTACAGTTCATAGTCCACATTTAGTAAAAAGCAGTTTATCTTTATCTTATTTAAAGATAAACTTTATCTTAAAAGATAAATTAGCTTTAAAAATGTTCCAGAAAATTTTTGCTTCATATATTGATGCAGGAGCAGGGTTTGACCCTTTAATCCTCATGCAGGTGACTTGGCGCTCAGCCTAATTTGACAGATTCTTTCTGCAAAGCCCTACTGCAGAGGTCAAAGAAGGAAATGCATCGTCATCACAGCCTCCTTTCTTGGGGGAGCATTGAGGTTAGCCCACTGGATTTAAAATCTTACCACAGAGACAGAAAACAAGATTGGCTAACCACAATGACTTGACTCAAAGAATTAGAAACACTGACATAAGGCAAACATTCCTGAAAAACTGAAGTCAGAGTTCTGCCTACATTTTAAATAAATAGCAATCCAAAAATCTAGGGCAAGAAAACTCCATAGGCATCTCAGTATTTTACTTGAGCCAACATCAATCTTCCTTCTTTTCAGACAAGCTGGTAAATCAGCAGTGCTAGATCAGTCAAAGCAGCTGAATGCAAAAGCTGAGGAGACAGACAGAATTTGTACTGCGTATATGAATTACTGAGATAAAGGAAAACCGCTCATAAAGATACATCTTGAATAAACATGAACACTTAGCAAGAGTACACAGGGAGGAGGAAATACTACAGTCCAAATCTTGTGAGATGCCTCTGATTAAATGTACCATCAAGTGGGAAAGGGACCTCGGTTTCTCTGCAGAGCTTCAGAGGCTGCAGCTCACTCACACACAGCTTCAGAGCAGCAAAGCCAGACACAGTGGGAGGGCAGCAGCGAGGCCACGGAGCACTGGGGCAAAGCAGCAGCAGCACACCCAGCCTGATGGAGCTGGGCTCACGCTGCTAGCTGGTTGAAAGCACCTACCCTGCTAGTTTGAACTGCTGTATGTCAAAGACACCAGCCCAGGAGCCGCTGAGCTTCAGGAGCGGCATGTGCCATCTTCTGATCTCCCTGTGGTTTTGGTGAGAGCTGGGTGCTGGAAGCTCTGGCAGCTGAGGAACTGGTACCCATGGAAATGCTAGCTCTGCTGTAGGGTCCGTGAGACGAGAGGTTTAGGCACTTTCCACCAGGCCAAAGACCTCCTACCTCACACCAGACATGTCACAGAGATCCCTGCATTTGCAGCTCCCAAACCAAACAGGGCACCGGTTTTCAGCTCTCCGGTACAACCTTCTTCAAGTTTGACACATCTGTAGGAACAGAATGTCTGACTGCTTAATAAATACCCTGGACAAACCCTTACTGAAAGCACATAGCGAGATAATAATAAAGAAAACAATGTACAGGAATATTTACTAGATTTGGAGAACCCGGTAAGAAAATGATGCTTTTATTCTCCTGCAGCACAGGTAAGTTCGGTGAGGCCTGTCTCTGTTCCATCAGTGAGCAGGCTGTGAACTATTCATGGCCCCACTGTATGGGGATTCACCATCCCCATACAATGATTCTGACTCAGGTTTCCTAAAGGAGCACCCAGAGATGTAAAACTGAACTGTTCTTAATGCAGAATTCACAACAGATCTCCCTCCATTCTACTCCTGTAAAGCAATGGACATCTCAGCTTGTCTGCAGAAAAGAGCTGAAAAAGAATGTAGAAAGCGGATAAGAAGGATGCGAGATTGCTCATCCTTCTACTTGGGACTTGTTTGATTTCCTTTCACAGCATCATAGAGTAGAAGTGGAACAGATCTATTAGGTCAGTGAGTGCATCTTACTCAAAAAGCAGGATTAATATCTTCCCACAGCCATCCACAATGAAGAATGCTTCAGTTGCCAAAATAATCCTGTGCTGAACAGTGAAACCCACAGGTGGCAAGCAACTCTCAGTGCCAGGCTGCTTAATAACTCACATAGTTAACATCAGCACCGTTCTCTCAGACAAACCAGGGCATTCTTTTCTACAGTGCCCTCCTGCCTGCTGGCCAAAGGAATGGGAACCCTGAGTTCTGCCCCTAAAGGCCGGGTCCGTGCCACCGACTGGTGGGTTGGTCTTTGCCAAGACATTTTTGGAGGAATTATAGAAATCCCTCTTACAGAAGGGAATTAGACGTGGTACTTAGGCAAAACAGACATTCCATTTATAAATATAATTACTTTTGCTGTTCCATCAAGAAAAATAATTTAGTAGCGAGGGATACAACGGAGAAAATTATTTATGTGTTGACACAGAATAAATAGGAAACAGATCAGAATGAAACTAAGTGGAAAATGAAAAACATACAAAAATGTGTGAGATTACCAGTTGAGGGGATAACCACTCTAGTGCATTCCTTCCAACTGAAGTACAGCCCCTCACTTTGCTTAATGTTTGGATTTTAACTACGTGAGCATTATACAATAAGTGCAAAAGCTTCCTTTGAATTTATCAGCAAGTTCTTTTCTTTTGATGCTAACCTTGGGCACTGCAAAGCAGCCACTCCTCTGTGGTGCAGCACAGGGTACAGGGATGTGGTTTGCGTGTTTTCCCTTTGCTTTAGTGTACTATAGCATGGGTTAGAGAAGAAAGGAGTGAATCTGCCATTTAAACTCTATACATTGAGTGACTGCATGCAGTGTCACCACCTAAAGAAAGACTCTGACCCCATCTCTGGTATAAAATACACTCACTTATTTCACTCAGGCTGCATGGATGGGGATGGCCATCAATGCACATCTTCAGCATCAGATTTGTGACGAGTATTTTTATCTAGCATCTTCGTTCTTAAAGATATTAATGATTTGTCACATATGGTGCACTATATTTTTCTAAAGCTGTAAGATACCATGGTGATTAACGCCATGTGAGAACTTAAACAGAAGGCAACAGGATAACAGAAATGTCCTCCCAGCAGATATGTGGCCTTGGTACATCTGTAGGTAAAGTATTTCACCTTCACAATTTTACTCTGTACATCAGAACTGTATGAGTTCCATAACAGAAGACTGTACAATGTTGCAGAGAGAACAAGAAACCTTACGTTTAATTTCTCTATAGTTTTAATTAGGGCTCTCAGATCAATTGTGTAAGGACAGATTGATTATTCTAGCTCTTTTGATCATACTGATTTACTACTTCAATTTAAGGGAGGCAGGAGAAATAAAGAGTCACAAGTATCCCCTGTTTACCTATATAAATATATATATATATACATGTCTATCTCACCATATTTCTGGTAGGCAAAGATTCAGGCTTCAAACATCCTTGCAAATTTGCCCAATCAATAACCAAGTCCACATACAAAATCTACTCACTGAATCAATACATTACTGAGAAACTAATCACATTTTACTTACCCACACAAACACTGCGAAAGCCTGGAGACACTGCAAGGCTGCTCTAAATGAAGGCATTACTGCTGGGCATGCTGCAGGCTGCTCAAGCAAGCCTACAGCCCTTTTTTTTAAGCAGCCTTTTTTACCCACTTGGATTAGGACTGCCGCTGGCAGAGCAGCTGCCCCTTGTATTATTGGATCCAAAGCAAGGATTGTTCAGAAGTTCAGCAGACCAGGAAAGCAGGAGTTGTTTCTGGACACTAGCATAAACAAAGCAGCGAGCTCAGGGGCTGCTGGAAAGAGTCAGGATGAAATTGATGATGTACAAAGGGTCTGACCCTGAAGTTCTGGCTTCAAAAAGGGAAAGAGGACACGGGGATGCTGAAAACCAGGCTGTGCGGGGGACATATCTTCCACTTCTCCAGGCCCAGAGCTGCAGGGAGCACCAGGAGGGCTGCAAGGAGCATGAGAAGACAAGCATTAGCACTCCCCCACTCATCTCCCTCACAGCAGTGCATTAGAGGTTAAATAAATAAGAAAACAAAAACAAACAAACAACAAAGCACTCGGGAAAAGGCAGTTTCTGAAAAACTGGTCACTAGTAAAGAAAGGCAGCCAGGCCCCTAGGGATGCTCTCCTTGCCTAAGGAGGAAATGGATTATGGTGGTAATGTTTGCTGCACTGTAATTAAGGCGGTGTCGGGACTTTCATTAAAATGTGTGTTTTTGTGGAGGGGCTACGGCTTGGGGAAAAATTTTGCTAGGGGCTGAAACATAACAACTTTGTTCTCAGCCAGAAAATGCATGCACAGTCTTTATTATATATGTAATTTGGAACCTCAGTGTAGTTTTGACGGGGAGATTCTGCTGTTGTTTCCATATTGGTATGTAGGTAGCTAGTTTAAAACATTAGATATTAAAGGAAGTAAATGAATGAATTCTGGCTCGACCTCAAGTAGGTGACATGTCCCCATAAACTGTTTGCAATTAACTCCAAAAATCAAAGGCCAAATTCTGCTGGTCTTACTCAGACACGTAGCTTTCTCAAAGTAAACAGCTGCAAATGGGACTGGGCTCCCAGCATTCTCTCACATTCAGTTCTAGGCACCTGTCCCTCCCACGTTATAGATCCTTTAAAGGTAAGCGACAGAGATAATTTCCCAACAAAACTGGTGATACAGGACAAGGTTGGCCCTGCTATCAGCATCCAAATTCCTAACGTCACAGCACTCCACATCTCACATCAGGAACCACGACTGCAGGAACTCGGGCCTGTACGAAACACAGCAGAGACAGCTCCAGTCACAGAAACAAATCATTTCCCCTGTTTTGCGGCCAGGTTCTTGTTTCTGTTAAGCAACCTGAGTGTGAAGCACCACTCCTGCAAACAGCAAACTGCTCAGGTACTTATTTCATCTCCTGCATGGCAAAATGCTGCCCTCACACCGATGGCTCTGTGCCTTTCCTCACAGGTGCACACAGTGTGCTCCTGCCCTGTGTGCCTGCTACTGGCTAGGAGCGTTTCCTGGCCTGCACGTACCTGTGATGCTGCCAGCATTCAACCCAAGGGATGTCCTGCTTTCAGCTGCTAATTGGATTTTACTCAAACCATTGGCAATCTGCACTTCTGGATTAAAAAACCAGACTCATACAACGAGTAATATTTCCCACAAGTTTCCCTCTAGACCACCCACCTCCACAGATAGGTCAAAACTAAAATTCAGAGCATTAATGGTTACAAAATTTTAGTTTCATGAAGTTGTAAGCAGTGCATGCGTTGCCACCAATCAGACAAACAGCAAAGATGGAACAGACTGAAGTTCATAAGTAACTTGTGGTTGATTTAGAAACTCCAAATAACAAAACACCACATAAAGTAGCACAGTCCATCATTACAAGAACAAATGATAGAAATTGCAAGTTCAGGAAGAATTTACACATTACTGCAAACTCTTAAGCACAGAACAAACTTTCATCAGGATGCCATGGTCTTCAGTGAAGTTATTTATGCAATCAGATACTACCACTGCAGTGTAGACAGGTGTGATTCCTTGTATGCAAACTGCATCTGATACGAGCACCTTTTTTGACTTAATTTAAATTACTTGGAAGAAGTTAATCTGAAAAAAGCCAGAAGTTGCAGAATGAGTGAGCCCTGCACGAGGGTTAGAGAATAACCACCACTTTTAAACTCACACTTTGGCATGCATAAAAAGAACATTTTCTTACGAAGATAAAAGTCTCCACGTGTAATAACTCGATATATAGACAAGCCCTGAGGGCTTGCATCTTAAGCACTTAGCATTTTTGGCCCCATCTTAATGGATGAAATAGGTGTGTTTCTCAGTTATGTTAGCCCAGTCAAAGCAGCTTAATATGATGAAAAAGCCTCAGGCTTTGGCGAGACTAAAGGTGTAAAGGTGTGATGATAGCACATGCATCACAGCACAGGCAAGGCTGCCTGCCTTTAACACACACTAAACTAATCATGTTAAAGCAGGCAGCGGATGGGGAGCTTAGACTTTAACATGGCTTTACACACTGCACCTTTCCCTGCACTTTGCCACTGCCACCACGGATGTGGCACCAGACTTTCGGAGCAGTACGTTGCAGTAAGCTGATGTTGACTACAGTGCACAACTGAACAATCATTAAACTGTCAGAGTTTGGAATTAATGTCATAAAACTGTCTGGATTGCATTCCAGATGGAATCCAGAGTGATCTTATTTCTCACTACTTGTTACATAGACTCTTATAGTTGTATAATAGTGTGACTGGTATTTACATAACAAGCATATTTACATAGTAGTTGTCACTTTCCTTCAACGATTTCCAAACCAAGATCCTTCTCCTTAACTAGCTGGTTTAATGCAATGTGCCGTCTTCAACTTGTTCTATTATTACAAACGAAAACATCACTGTTTCTCATTGAGCACACTGGGACAACTGAAGATGCCCTGAAGTCAGAACTGCAAACATGCCTCGTTTAATCAGTACAGCCAGGTCTCACTTTTATTTTAGGAACAATACCAAGAACACAGAAATGCTTACTTCAGGAAGGTGAAATTGCAGTTGAAAGTTTTGAAGCTGCCTGCCCTTAAAAGTTTAAGAAAGAAAGAAAGAGAAAAGAAATGTCAGTTTCATCTGAGTTAGTTTGCAGTGTGCTGGAAGATCTCTTTGCATTCAATAAATCAGAAGATGCGTTCATTTAGTATTATGCCTTTGTTATAAAAACGTCTATTTTCCAGGTAGAGGTAATTTGTTATAGCTGGTAGTGTGATATAAACTTAACATTTTTCCTGACAAAGCCATTCAAACGTCCTCAATCAACAAAGCACTCGCATCATGGATTTACATTGGGTGGCACCACTTCTCCCAGCCTGTCCCCCTGCCATAAATAATGCTACAAACACAGAGCTACAATTCCACCTCCGGGTTCCTGCTCTCAGTGCCGTTTCAGTCCTTCACACCTTTGATTGCCACAGCAATGGCAGCAGCATCTCACAGAGCAGACCTGCCCAGCTTTGTCCTGACACGCCAGGAGATAATGCAGTGGAACTAATGGACAGCAGCCCCTTAAGGTACTCTCGTCCCAGACCACGCAATGCCAAAGCTGGCTTGGCCCTGCCTCCACAAGGATTTGGTATTGTGACAGCTACATAGAAACGTAATTAATGTAAGAAACAATGGAGAAAAAGGTCAACACTGTTAAACATACATCTGCTGTTGCAAAAAAAGGAAAGAAAAAAAAAAAAAAGCTGCCCAAAGCTCAACCGCTCACATTGATCTAAAGGCCCTAAACAACATTGCATGGCAGCAATGGATGAAACAAGTGTACGTGGTGACTGCATGTATTTCAGCTGCGGGCTGTGGCAGTCATCCCTCACACACCTAGCAGTGGATGTGAGCCCACAGCACGCTCACGTGTCCAAGCTCAAATCAATTTGCACATGCATAGCAGCTCTGACACATCCTGGACTCATTGGAGCCGCCGCGCATGTGCAGCAGATCCACACGGGCACAGTCACCACTTCAGGGGATGGCCATTTTTTTTTACCAGAGCAGATGGCAACCTGGTGACTCCTGCAAATGCCACACCATGCTCCTGCTGTGCAGAGGCTGTGACCCTTTCCTTCCTGCTCCCAACCCTTCCCTTCCAGCCAGGCCTGGGCTGGTGTAGAATGTAGCCTGTAAAATGTTTTCAGCTACATTACACTAACTTACCCAAATTACCAAAATTCAGAGGTACTTTTTTTGCGTTAGATACATGTAACCATCTAAGCTCCCATATCTGAAGCCTACGAGAGGCACACTTTGTCATAGAGATGCTGAGCTCAGAGTGTATTTTCTCAGTTGGCAGAAAGTAACCCATTTTCAGCAACAGGGCCAAGGAGTCACAGCAACAGCCCAGCTGAGAAAGGGGATGGCTTCGCATGTGCATGTGTATAGACCAAGATAACTCTACCACCTTTATCTCCACATATATGCATGACAGTATCACAAAGATCTCATTTAATTACCCGGGGATTGAACCAACAAAGACTTTTTGTTATGAAACAGTTCCCAGGAAAACAGGCCAGCAAAAGCTGTGTTTGCCACAGCATGTCATTTTTCATTTGGTATTCCTGAAGCCTACAAGTGAGAATTTTGGTGAGGAAGCACTGAGTAAGGTCTGGTTTGCTGTGCGTTTGGTTTTACATCAAAAAAAGCGTGACTTAAAGTCATCTCCTCCTTTTGCTGCTGTACCTGCGCGCTTCCTTACGCTGTGCTATCAACCGGGGTTTCACACAGAGAGCAAACCCGCCACGACAGAGGGTTGAAAAACCCAGCGAAGGGCTCTAGCAGCTTTATGCGCGTTCCCTGCAGCCCTGCCGCTATCCTTCCCCACCATTTCTGGAGTCCGCCGAAGTTGTTACTCGAGCGGAGCGGAGCTCAGCTCTGCCCGCCGCTCTCCGCACGCGCGGGGCAAAGCGGCCGAAGGAGGACCGGAGCGGGGAGGCCCGGCCGGGGGCCCCGCGTTGGCAGCGGGCGGAAAGAGGGCGGGGGGTGACGGGCAGGGCGCCTCGAGGGCTGCCCTCAGGGCGGTGCCCGGGGGGAAAGCCCGGGGCCGGACTTTGCTTCGGCCGCACGGCCGCGCCTCCGCCTCTCCCCCCGCTTCCCTTCGGAGCCGGAGTCCCTCCCGGCCTCCGGGCCACGTTAAATCCCGTGTAATGAGGCTTAACCCCGCCCCGAGGCGCGGCGCGGCCGGTCGGGCAGGCAGCCAGCGAGGCCCCTGCCCGGGGAGCCCCCCCGCCGCCCCGAGCGGCCGCAGCTGTTCCAGCCGGAGTTGCTGGAAAACGGCCACGGCTCCCCAGACTTTGTCTCCCCCGCGCGCAGCGCTGAACTCTGCTCCCTCCTCTCCTCCCCTCCCCGGGGGAGGCCGCGGCTCCTCCGAGCGGCGGTGGGGGGACGAAAGAGGGGGCTGGGGACGGCCGTGCCCCCGCGGCTCGGGGCTGGGCGGCGTGCGCGGAGCCGGGGCCACCCGCTCTCAACCCCCGGGGAAAATAAAATACATAGAACAAAAAAGAATAGGGTTGAGGGCGGGGAGCGGGCGGGGAGAGAGCGCGGCACGACGCGCGCCCGTCCCGTCCCGTTCCGTCCCGGCCCCGCTCCGCGCTTTCCCCGCAGCCCGCGGGTGAGCGTGGCGCGGCGGTGGGTGTCTGCGCCTGGGACGGGCGGGGCGGGCAGGCGCAGTGTGGGGCCGCGGCAGGGGGAGGGCGGCGGGCGGGCACTGTGTCTGCGTCGCACTGGCAGGGGGAAGGGAAGGGAAGGCGGGGGGTTACGCACCAGGGCAGAGCCGGGATCCCTTCTCCACCCCGCGAGCCCGCGGGGAGGGGAAAGAGAAGGGAGAAGGGGGGGGGGGGAGCGTTCTCCTCCTCCTTCCTCCTCCCCCTTTTTCACCCTTCCTCCTCCTCCTTCTTTCCCCAAAGTTAAACTTCCTGCTCCCGGCCCGGCTGGGAAGGGGACGCGCAGCCCGGCCGGACTCAGCCCTCGACACACGTAACAGCTGGAGCTGTCAAAACTTCCTCCGCTCGGCCTCGGCCCCTCGCCGCCTCCTCCGCCGCCGCCGCCGCCTGCTCCTCCTCCGCCCCCGGGGGCTCAGCGCGGGGGGAGGGCGCGGGGGCAGCGTACAATGAAGCGGCGGCCGCCGCAGCCGGGTAGCACCGGAGCCGCCAACAGCTCCCGGGGCCTCTGAGAGGGGGAAGCCCGCCGCCGCGCCTCGCCCGCCGCCTCCTCCCGGACCCCGCCGAGCCGGAGCCGAGGACGGGGTGTTATTGTGTGCGAGACCCTTCGTGCCTCCGCGCTCTTCTCTTCGCACCCCCCCTCCCCCCCTCCCCCGGTTCCTCCCTCCCCTCCTCCTCCTCCCGCTCTCCCCATGCTGCTCCCCCTGCTACCTGCGCTGGTCGGCGGCGGCTGAGGCCAGCGATGCGAGGCGGAGGTGGAGAAGGCGGAGGTGAGGAGGAGAGGAGCCGCGGGAGCAGGAGGAGCATCGGGATCCCCATCACCATCCTCATCTTCATCACCATCATCCATGTGTCTCTCTCGTCCTGCTGACTAGGATGTCAACGGAGGACAAGAGCCTGGTGGTGGCGGTGGCGGAGCCGCCTCAGCAGCAGCAACCCCCCGAGCCTGCAGCTCCCCCCCCAGCAGCAGCGGCAGCAGCCACAGACAAAAGACCAAGGGGCCGGCCTCGCAAAGATGGCGCTTCCCCTTTCCAGAGAGCCAGAAAGAAGTAAGTTGGGCGCTGCTGCGCGTGAGGGGCCGGGCGCGGGCAGAGCTGTCACGGAGCCCCGCCGCCCCCCCCCCCCCCCCGTCCCCGCCGCTCAGTGCCATTTTCAGAGGGGCTCTTCTTTCTTTCTTCCTTCTCCTCCTCCTCTCCCCTTTGCACTTTCTCCTCCTCCTTTTTCACCTTTGTCTCCCTCCGCCTGTTTTCCCCGCACACTTTTCTTCTCCCGTCCCTATTCCTCGCCTCTTTCTTCGGAGTTGCTCTCTTTCCCTTCCCCTCTTCCTCCTCTCTCTCCGGCCCTCCTGGATACCGATGCCGTTCCCTCTGCTTGCTTGTCGCTCTCCCCGTTCCTCGGCTCTCTCCTCCAGGACGCTGCCTGGATATGGAATATCGCTCCCTGCTCCTCGCTTATCCCTATCCCACCCCCTTCCTCTCTTTGAGGAAGAAAAGACGGTTCTTCCCTTCACGCTCACGCTTCCCCCCCCCACCCCCACCCCCCCGAACACGCAAAGTTGAGGCAGAGTTTCCTTGGCCGAGAGGCTGACGGCGCTCGGGGAGCTGTCAAGCGGTGGCCCCGGGCTGTGGGGAGAGAGCGGGGCCGGGGGCCGCCTCCTCCTCCCCGTGACAGAGCTCCCTTCCCCTGCGTGGGGGGAGGGCGGAGGACGGGGCGCGGGCGCCCGCCGGGCTCTGAGCGGGCAACTCGGCGCGGGGATGCGGGGGAGCAGCGCTCGGGGCCGCCGTGCTGCCGCTGCTACGTGAGGCGTCGGGGCACGGCGCGGCGCCCGCCCCTCTCGGGGAGCCGCTTGGGGACTGGCTGCGCTCGGCTGCGGTTGTCTGTGAGGGGTCGGAGCTTGAGCTGGAGGCAGCGGCAGCAGGACAAAGCCGGCCGAGCGCGTTTTTGTTTTTTGTTGTTGTTTTTTTTTTTTTTTTTTTTTTTTTTTTGTGTGTTTTTTTTTTTTTTTTTTTTCCTGTGTGTGTGAAGAGATACAATTGTGAGCGAAATAGGAAGTCCGTGCGGAGAGTTTGGTGGAGTCGCGGGGACTGCGAGTTGGTTTCCCTTTGTGTTAAAGGGCCGCTCTCGCTCTGACGTCAGCTGCGCGCATTTAACCCGAGGCGCCTCGCTCCGCGCCCGCCCTGCGCTGCGGGAGCTGCCCGCGCCCCACAGCCGCTCTGCTGGGCGGCAAACGCGCACCGAGGGCAGGATTTTCCTCTGCTGCAAATTTTCATATGGCCGGAGCTGAAAGGAATTGCCAAACGCGCACGAAATCGTTAGTTCCTCACGCTTCGGGTTGATTTCCGTATGTAGGAGCCAAACCTTAGGTGAGAAACTTGGGAGCGTCTGGTTTTGTGCGAAAGTTTTAGGAAGAAAAATGGAAATACTTCAGAAACGTATCTGTCTGTACAAAGAGCAAAGCGGTGTGACCTGTGAGAACTGACAGACCCTGCACGCCAACTCGAGGCTGAGCAAAAAGTGGGTGCTAAAGAAGCAGCTCCTTCCTTTTGGTTGAATTCTGGGGATGTTTTCAGCTTGCTTTAGGAGGAAATGAAATTTTCCTGTAAGAATATGTGCTTATGTGAACGTGAGGCCACGCGTTGTGTCAGACCCAGAGCTGAGCTGTGAGGAAAATTAAAGCTGATCAGTACTCTTTTTTCTTCCCATTGTGGCTATGCCTGCCTGGTGAGCGTGGCTGGTGTCCTGTGTCTGTATGGAAAGTGTAATGTGGGTACAGCTGCTGTCAGCCCTGAATGCTTTTGAAATGAGTTTTATTAAAATAGCAATTCCCCCCCCCCCTCCCCTTTACCATGTGGAGATTGGTCTTCGGCTGTATCAGTTTGGTGGAAAAATAATTTTATTTCGTATCTTTTATTATTTGCAGAATAGTGATTAACCAGCTAAGCGAATGCAGAAGTAAAACAAGTAGAAGTGATTCCTCTTCTTTTCATAGGGCTGCTTGTCTCCCTTTTCACTTCTGTGTTTCCTGGTTGTGTTGGCATGCCTCGTGAAAACCACGTATGTCAGACCATTCTCTGTGCCGTAATCACACATCTGAATCACTGTTAGCCAGTCAAATTGTTCAACTGCTTAATCCCATTGTAGGAAATGTTGCACTGAATGTTCAGTCTAAGTAGTGGTAAAACGGAGAGCCCTGCATTGAAACAGAATAACCCAAAAAGAGTATTTCCTAAGCTATGGGAGCCTCCATTAGAAAAATGATACTATATCTGAAAATACTGCTTGTTGGTTTTTAACTTCCTTGAAGACAGTGTTCTTACATGAATTTGATGAGTTTAAGAGGACAGATGGAAAACTGCCTTGAATTTGCTTCTGTGAGATGCCAAGCTTGTGGTAAGGGATGATAGGGTTCTTCCAGTAGGAAAGCTCTGTGCAGATCTCTGTTATCCCATATCTTACCTGGTTATCAGTATAATTCCAGTGGTGCTGGGGACACAGTTATGTTTAGGAAACTGAGGTTCCTTTTAGATGGGGAACCTATCAGTTTTGTTGTGGTGCCGGTACTGGAGTTACTGGTGGCAGAACATGGAGTTAGAGGGGCTGTCCATCACTATTTGAAGGATCCTGCTTTGTGAATAGCATTGTCAGGAGACTTAATCTTGGGTGAACAGTTCATTTTTATTTGTATTGTAATCGTGCCTAGAGGCCAGGGCACTGTTAAGCTACATACAGTATGGATGCATAAGCAAATATTGCTTCTGCACAAACAATTTATTAATTTAAATGGGAAGATAAGGTGGCATGTAAATGTAAGGAAGGTACTGAGAAAGCGTGAGGGAGCTGTGAGAAAGCTGTGAGCAAAAGAATGTGCAGAAGTTTGAGTACCCCGACTATCTCAGCATCACTGAATGATTCATAGGTATCAGACTTGCAGGATATATTTAAAGGAAGGTAGCACTGTCACCAGAAGGGTTATCGCAGATAACTTGTTTCCTGTCTCAAGTGCAAGACAAACACTTGTATTTTCTTCCTTACTTTCTGACAACAGGCTATCTGTATAGAGCTGAGATACAAATTCAAGAGCTGGAGCTCAAAAAGGCCTTGCACAGCCTTGGCATTGAGAGCAAGGTTCTTGACATAGTTCATAAGGAAGAACGTAAAGAACCGTAATCGTAGCGATGAATGAGAAAAATGTTTTTGAAATGACAGCTTTCAAATGAATTTAAGTGGCAAGATTGCATTTACCAAAGGAAAACAAAACAAAACAAAAAAACAAACAACAGAAGGAAGTTGCATTGCTGAAGATAGAAAAGGATGTAGGAGACAAAAAAAAAAAAAGAATCTGAATCTTGTGGGTATTGTTCATAGAAAATGGATATAATTAGGGACCTTCTTATCTCATTAACTGAAAAGTCTGAAATCCTGGAAAATTAGCTCCTGTGTTTGGATGATTACTCCTCAACTTCCATGCTGTGTACCTGAATGATAGGAATGTGATAGAAAAGAAGTTGCAGGGGAAGAGTGCGTGGTCTGTTCTGATTGCTGTCATTGCATGAGCAGCTGGTTGTTGGTCAGAACGTATCAGAATAGTGTTTTGTAGTCTGTTGTAAGTAGTAGAGCTTTGCTGATCTACACAGGGTATAAGGACACCAACGTTGTTGTTCTTAACAAAAATGTAGCAGAAGTCTCACTGATTGTAATCGTGATAAGTTGCTTGCCTTTTAAGTCATGTCTAAGTTCACTTTAAATGTTATATTCGGCATCTGTCAGGCTGCTCATCTGTTACAGATTTTGCAAATGTGTGTGTAGTTTGAAACAGAATAGGCAAATGATTTCAAAAAGCCTGGAATTTGTCAGTTGAAAACCTTTGGTGTTTAATTTAAGTATCTCTGAGTTATTTTCCTCGTACTTATTGCTTGCTTGTGTTGTCCAGTGTAAGCTGCAGTAGGATTTCAAAGGCCATAGATTTCATACGTGCAGATAGTTTTGAGGACACGTAAGCATGGTGTTATTGCCAGGAAATGATTATTTAAGGACTTTTATCGTTACTTTAGCTGGATTTGCAATAGAGCAGGCCAGTATTTAAAGATACCTACGCTCATTTCAAAACAACCTTAACGTGTTGGATCTCTTTGCTTTATAGCTCAGTTGTGTGTCTGTAATTCATCACACACCTTTCCTGTGATGCTTGTCTTTACTTTCCTGCCCTGTTCTCGCTTAAAAATGTAACATTTGCAAATGTCAAATTTGTGTTGTCTTAAACAATTAAAATGTTCATTGCTGGGGAAAATCACTGCTACCTATCATTGAAAGACAAGTCTTTGGATGTATAGGTTTTGTACAACTGTTGTATGATGGATAGGGGTTAAAGTACCAAGGCAAACAGGGGGCTGTGCTTCTGCCTTTACCTACCATCTAACAAAAGGCCTGGGCCAAAAGCCAGAAGGTGTGTGTTAGATCTCACAGTGTGAAGAGGGGAGGTGTTGGAATAAGGCTTTATTATCAGCACATGACGTGGGCCCTTGGAAGGTCTGTCTGGTCTGTTGTGGAACAGCAGTTAGCTACATGCAGTAGGGTCCCAGGGCAACTCATGGCCATCTTCTCCCACTGCCCCCATTGCTTTACATCCACCTTCACCTGAGGAATTCCGTTACCAAGCAGTTGCCATACTGTCACGTGTTGCTGTTGCATTGGAGCCTGGCTTAAACGGATCATGGTTCTGTTTTGCTCAGGAGCTTCTGGTAAACGATGTCAGCATTTATCTTTTGATTTGCAGTTCCTGGTGGGAAGTCTGTGATAGATGACAGTGGGTTTTATAGAA